TCTCTTTTGCCGGGGAAAAAGCTTGACTGTGAGCTCTGCATTTTTGATACTAGACGTCTACAGGTGCATTGGTTCTTCCTGGTGTTCTATTCCTATATTTCCAACCAACAATGCAGTCATAATTATATATTGATTCCACGTCAGGGCTACGGTCGGCAGGTGAAGCATAATTTGACATAGTAGCTACGTAGTGTGTGCGCGCTGCGTGTCCCATGCTGGGATATCAGCATTTTGAAGCTGTTGGGGTTCATGGTGTGCACCAGCTTTCGCACTATCTTGGCAGGATTTGTTTGCCAGGTTTCACATCTCACTGATCTAGGCTGACCAGAACCGTGCCTAGAAGGATTGAGTTGAAATGAGCAGCTCTAGTGAGTACACTTTCCAAGGAACGTGCGTGTGATTTGTATGCACCGCTCAGCATTGTACCGTGCAACGCGTAATTCTCTTCCAAATGCAGGTTGCAATGCTGGCCCTTTGGAGAGGGATATCTCAGAAAGGTTGGCGGCTGGAGATTCTTGGCAATGATATGTTGTTCAAGAAACACGAGTGGCACATAGTGGCACTGTACAATATTTCAATCCATGGGGTTTTGATCTACAGTAATGGTACTATATATGCATGTGTACGTTATCCAATCACCTGTGCCTTCAGGACAACAGCATTGACTCAGCTATGCGGTCAGCCAGGTCGACTTTCAATGTACCATGACCAATATTTAAAGATCGATCGATCGACCGATATCGCTGTCTCATTTCAACCCACTAGCTTTGCTGTGAAGGTAATTTAGTAGATCCATCAAGTTGCAACCAGTGAGGAAGCTCGTGGGTATACAACACATTGGACGGCGGAGCTGGCCGGCTACAAACTAGGTCGAAATGCGGCTCGTGATTTCTACCGGAACAATCCGCTTCCAGTTGAGCCTTGCTCGGATTCAATCTACTATTTATCGATCTTTTGTTTTTTTATTTGATTTGTGTTCATTCATAGGCCTACCTAGCTAGAGCTTCACTGAACAATGGAGCCGGGGAGTCATGGAGAGTCGCATTCCAGGAGCCTGACCTTGTCTTGGTGACCACCTTGAACGAGCATGGAAAAGAACAGCCAGAACACATGCAGGTGGTGCTACCAGAGAAAATTTTGGAGTTTCTTATCAATCAATGCGGACTACAGCTCAGGCCTGAATTGATTCGGAACTACTGGGAGCATTTAGAACGGGTGCAAGATCTCTTTGCCCTGGACACAGCTTCCTATCGAGAAGCCGCTGGAGGAATGATCTGGCCCTTAGGTTTTTACGGTGACGAAGCACAGGTGGGGTTGCAAAACAATCCAGGAATGAAGATCTGGGGACTATTCATGAATGTGATCCTTTGGAGGCCAAAAGCAACACGGCTGGCCAGGTTCCTTTTGTACTGTGTTCAATCTGACAGAGTGGCATCCGTTTCCAAGACCATATATCCAGTATTGCAGGCTCTCACCCAGTCGTTCAACAAGCTTACAGAACAGGGTGTGTGCAACACACGCTGTTTGGTCACCGAAATTCGCGGTGACCAAGCCTTTTTTCGCTTCTTATTCAAGCACGCGTCGTGGTGGCGCAAGAAGACTATGTGTTTCAGGTGCGGTGCATGTGCGGATGATGGTCCATTGAGGTACACATTGTACGAATCAAACGATGGCTGGAACACCACACTTCGTTCTACAGCATATTTTTTGCGACATGAACTCCCATCTGATCCTGATGAGTTGTGTGCCACACTCAGCTACCCATCATGTGATGACCGTCGAAGAAAACATGTTCCCAGCTATTGCGTTTTGTTATGATGCATGTGCGCAAATACTTTCTGTTGAACAGATTGTCGATTCGTCCAATAAGTCACCCCCTCCATGTCCTCAGGCCCTCTCGTGAACCTTCACTATTTCCACATTGGGTTGCTTCGCCATTGCACCCTCCATGTGCTTAATTTGGGACTACTTGGAGTCTGCAATGGCTCGGCCCTGTAACTCAACTGAAATTGAATAGCGGGGAAAACAATTTAACGCTAGCGCTTTGCAAGTCAACCGGGTCCATTTGTTGACTACATTGGTTGCTTTCTCAGGGGATTGCTCCTCGACATCAACTACTTTGGCGATGTTTCTGAAAGCTACAGTGATGCATTAGACAATGCGTTTGCTTCCTTCACTAGATGGAGGAAATCTCACAAGATTAGTTCCTCCCAGCGACCTTTTTCCATAAAGGCCTTGAAACGTGCAGGGTATGGATGGTACCTGAATGCTAAAGGTTTCAACAGTCGCTGCATCGTTGAATGGCTGCTGGCGTGTGTAGTTGATGTCAACCAGTCCATGCAGTACCGTGATGCAGATGAGCGGGCAATCCTTTGTGAGGCTTGTTTGATTCTCACCAGCATTTTTAGGTGGATGGGGTGGGAGGGGGTGGTCAAAGTGTTCACAACTGTTGCCATATTTGGGCAAAACACTGGTGGGTGTTGCGGTGGAAGGAAGTGGGTCAAAATTGATTTGCAAGCGTTTCAGCACATTTTGGCACAAAATAGGGTTGAGCAGTGTAGTGATAGAAACGCGGCCTACTCACTTGCCAACAAAAAGCAATGGTGCAGGATGATGGCTTTTCTTCCCCAGAGGTGATGTTCATGGTCGCCATCATGTGTTGTGTTGCTGGTGGATTGTACTGGTTGATCAACCAGGCCAAGCTGACTCTCACACCATTAGCGGGAACAGGAACTTGTACAACGTGTGGGCATGGAACAAGAAAGGATCTCCAAAAGGATCTCCAATCAGAAAATGATCTACTTCGGAAGATTGCGATCCTCGAGAGCGAAAAACTGGTTCTTGAGAAGGAGCTCATCAATGAGAAAGAAAGTCGGTTGCACTTTGCTGAGAGAGTCGCCAAAACCAAAATTAATCCCGAAGGCTCAAAGAGCTTTCAATTCAGCAACCCTAATCCCAAGGTTGTGTACATTGCAGGAAAAACCGGTACATGTTGGCATCTTGATATGCATTGCCACTACCTTCGCGGTTCGGATCTCCGACATATGACTGCTTGCCCTCATTGTGCTGTATGAACCGGTGGCCATTGACTTGGCATCCTGAAAAGGGAAAAACGTTAATTAAGAGCTGTTCCCACAGCATGCGTGCAGGTTTGACCTCGCTAGAATATCGAGAACATCGTTAAAAAAACCATCCGCCCAGGAAAGCGATCTGTCGCTTCTTCGGCCTCATGGAGCGTGCAGGCCGGTGGCTGCTGCTCGCCATGAGGGCGCGGGGGTCTTAGGACCACCAGTGGGGCTAAGGTGTTGGGTGGCTACCCTGTCTTTCTTTGAAAGTCTCACGGATCCTCTATCGTCTGGTTCTTCGATTCAATTCGGCTTCGCCAAATCACAGCTAGATTGTTCCAGTCGACATGTTATTAGTTTGGACGGTGCCACCTAGGACTCAAGAAGCCCCATTGCACTCTCATCGCAAAACAATGTATGAGACCCAGTTGAGCCACACTAGCCTTGAAGCCCTGAAGAAAAGACGGTGTTTTACTTTTGCATCAATGTTGCACCCGAGTTGCACCCGAGTCAGTCTTGTTCCTTTGTTGAAAGTCTCATGGATCCTCCATCATCTGGGTCTTTGATCCAAAACGGTGTCTCCATTGTATCGAAACGATGTTTTATTGATCTCATATGAGGACCGTCGACACCGCCAACGACATGGAAATGGCTGGAAAAACGTTCTTGCAGACCTACCTCGAACTCAATGTGCTTTCCACCAGGCTGCGGTGGAATAAACATGGAACACCTCACGTTAGTTCAAAGTTCAAACACTCTACACCAACCGGCCGTAGTACTTGGCCCTTGCAGGTCCAATCGCCTAGCATTTGTGGTCATTCCCAAGTGGCATTCATTCTGCCACATGCTTCACGATTTGAAGCAAAAACGTGCCTGGGCTACAGATTATACTTCCAAAGACACATTAATTTGGCACTTCTTGAAATGATCTACTGTAGATCTAGCTGATCCAAAATGTATGATCGGTGAATAAAGCTGTTGCCAGCATGATTCTGCTTTAACGCATCTGGTTCCAGCTGTGCTTTAGCTTTATATCCAAGGAGAGAATCCGCGATATCGCCACACGTTTTGCGATGAGAGTGCGATGGGGCTTCTTAAGTCCTGGGCGGTATCGTCCAAACGTGCCCGTCGTAAGGAACAATCTGTGATTTGGCGAAGCCGAATTGCATTGAAGACCCTCCGATGGAGGATCCGTGAGACTTTCAACAAGGAAAGATGATGAAAAACAATGAAAAAAGGCTCACTTGGGTGCAACTCGGGTGCAACATGGATGCAAAAGTAAAACATCGTCTTTCTTCAAGGCTTCAAGAAAAACATGGTCTTTCAACAAGTGCTAAGTTAAACTTCGTCTTTGGAAGCTTAGGGTATAGTTCTATATTTCAATGTTCACTTTGTCAGATTCGATTTTGCTGCCACCTGAGTGGGGGGAATGATTGGGCAATGACTTTTGATTTGCAACCCGTCAGTGGGTCCTCCTCGTCCTTTCCCCCCGCCTCCTCCTTTACCTCACTTTGGTTTCCTCCATTTTGTCTTGCCAAATATAATATACCCCAAACATATGCAACAGGATTGGCCACACCGTATGTCGGACAATTTGCCAAGTTCTTTGCATAACCCGGGCCCGATCATATGTCAGGACCTTTGCCTGACTATATACCAGAAGATATGCCAGAGTTTGTGCCAGAAATTGTGATATATATATATACACACATATCAGAATACGTGTCACATATGATGCCAGAAGCTTTGCCAGATACATCCAGATAGTAGCATGCCAGAACTGTTGTCAGTCAGGTATTAGTATACCAGAGGATATGATGATCACTGAAAGGGTATACAAATGTATACAATATACATAAATGACATTGTTCACAGGGCCGGGCCGTGGCTCCTAGATTGCGTAGGCAACCCAGGTTTCGCACGCGCTCTTTGGAGGACCAAGTGAGCTTTGCAGAGCAGGAGGTGATGAAAACACAAAAGATTCAGGCTCAGATAGGGCAACATTTGCTTCAGCCATCTTTGGATCCATGCGGTTTTGGGCTTTTCCCTGGAGGGTGGCTCCATCCATCAGGGATTTTCCCAGAGATGTGGTCAGCATGTTTTGTTCCCTAATTGCTCTTTCAGTCACCTTCTCGGTGGCACCGGCGTCCGGTGGAGAGGATTTCAAGGCGATGCGTTTGAGAACCCCCCCGAAGTCCTAGAGACATCCAGCCAAACATGTTCGAGATAGATCTGTTTTGTTGTTGTAACATTGTTTGGCTGTGCTTTTTCTTGGTTGTCATCTTGGTAGATCCAGTTTCCACGATAGAAACCAGTGGTGCCAATGCCTAAAAAGCCACTAAATCAGGCATGTAAAAGCTGCTAAACACATCGAACATAGGAAAAAACATAATTGGTTCCGTGTTTGCAACTTGTTTCCCTATATATATAGTCAGTGATAACTAGGATCCACTTGACTCAGTTGTCATGTCAAGTAAGGAGATCCTTGTAAGGACCTGTGGCGTAAGCAAAACACTAATGGGAGTAAGCCCGCGTAAGCAATTTTAGCCAATGTTGTTGGCGTAAGAGATTCTGTGTGATTTGTGAAATGGCAGTTTAGGACAAAGAACCTTATATATTCCAAGCTTACAGCTTAACATACATCCATCCATGGGATCACTGTCAGGTTGCTGGATATTTGTTTCCTCAAGTTGCGGCAAGCTCCATGCTGCAGGTTGAATGTGATTCTGATGATTCTGCAAGATGGAATTGCATGGAAAACGAATCATGATAAAGCCCGCAATGAAAAGGATTGTCCACCAAGGCAAGGAGTTTTAACAACTGCAGTGTACTATCGGATGGAAACAGCAACACTGTAATGTGCCCATAGTGTCATACCTTTTTCAAGACCTTCACCTCCAAACTTTGTTTCCGGGTTGGAAGCCAAAATCCGCGTAAGGTCCGCGTAAGCCAAAGCTGCTTTTGCCAGTAGTTCATGTCTCCCAAACACAAATCATGTTCACAACTTGGTGCAGAGCGCCAGCGACTTGTCGCAAAGACCGTCTCGGACATTTTGGAACAACATTGCCCTTCTTTGGATGAAGCACACCTCTTGCTGAACAAGGCTTTCGCTAGATGTCAATCTGTCCTTCCTGGCCTGTCCGCTATCAGTGGTGCCCAGTCTATCTGTCATGCCCGCGCGCTCAGCAGAGGTGCTGCCAAGAAGCGTCGTCAACTTTGTCATCTGCGGGTTTCTTTTGTTGCTGCGTCTTCATCGGCTTCATCTTCTTCGTCCACGTCATCATCTTCTACTGCTTGATGCTACCTAGAAACGCTGCGGTTCCTGCAGGTAAAAGTTGCTGCGCGTAAGCTGGGGCTGTGGCCGGGTACTAAAAATGTCCAGCGTAAGGTCTGCGTAAGCCGGTTTATTCCGCGTAAGCAAAACTGTGCGCGCGTAAGCAAAACGTAAGACGCGGCTGTTTGGTGCCGGGATATAAGACGTTTAAAACACAGCTCACTTGAATACCCAGTCTTAGCAGCATGTCGCACTGGCTCATCGACCCACGACTTCCGGCTGCCTTCTTTCTAGGCCGAGCAGTCGAGGGTTAAGGCTGAGGCTGAAAAGGACTGGTTGGTGAAGTGTTTGTTTCACTGTGGCCCACGGCCTTTCAATCTTTGTTGCATATCATCGACTGAAACTCTCGTTAATATTTGGTCAGTGGATTCCTTTTTAGACAAGCTCTCACTTGTAGTTGTTGCATCATGTTTTGCTAGGACACCAGCTAGTCCTCAAAAGGTAGTATGCGTCAGCTGTAGAGAGTCAAGGGTTGTCATTATGAGCGCTAAGTCAAATTCAGACCACCTGTTAGTATTGGCCAATGTCCCTTTGTGCGAGGACTTGGAGCAAACCAAGACCTCGCTCGCAGAGAATGAAAAGACCTTGAGTGCCGACCCCATGCAGCTTCAGCGCTACAGCATGGATTCTATGTGTTTGAAGCGGTGTTTGCAGACCCCCATAGAAGGCTCGATGTGTTCAAGATACTCCGGTTGCTTCAGCTTGGTGGGTGGTATACACCTATCGAGTTACAGGTGACTTCACCGTTCTTTCGCCCAGGTGACTTCACCTTGAACTGCAAGTCCGAGGCAAGTCCGGAGCAGCAGCTATTGTGAAGATTGTGAAGCATGGCAGAGATTGGCAGAGTACACTATTACGTCAACACTATTCAACACTAGTTATGAAGTCTTAATCACTTTTGGTGCATTTTGGTACACTGTTGTTCGGCCACACCTGTAGTTCCTAGCTACAGCAGCCTACAGCATTGCTTAGTTGCGTGCCCCTGGCACCACCGGCTTGCTGGCCCCACACGCGAAACAGGCAGCTGACTATGAAGAAGGAGTGAAGAGCCGCTCTTTGGAGCTTCAGGCACCGGGCGGGTTCAGTTCCAAGAACTTCGAGCTTCTGTGATAGGGTGCGAGTATAGATCATGAGTAAGAGTCAGACCATGTCAGACCTAACATGTCAGACGTCAGACCTCACTTGTGCTGTGGCGACTGATGTTCGGTCGACTCATCCGGACGCCGTGCCCTTTGAAAGCGGCCAGGCCTTGAAAGCGGCCAAAGGCGCCTTGAAGGAGTCCTCAGGCGTGCGGGTTTGCTGAAGTGTGGGTTTGGGGGTTTTGCCTTGAAGGGTTCTGGACATGTTCAGATACATTCTTAAGATGACTTGCATCTGACATACATTGAATAGTATAAGTTTAGATACATATCAGATATCAGCTATGACGTTATAATATGATAATATGAATGATATTGTGTTTACTTGATCTTTTTTAACATGTCGTTCTTATTTTGTTTGAACGTGTGTTTTATTCATACTTTGTCATGATTCTAGACTATTCATGCTAAGTACAACAAGTGTCACGTACATTCGCCACTGAAAGCACCTAGTTATGTTATGTTGGTAGTTGCTTGCCAACATGGAACGTGAGATGTACCTGTGTGTTCCCCAATGGTTCATTTGTGCAGTGATTCATATGTTAACGGCAACAAACGGTGTAGATGAAGCCTGTGTTGTGTTTCTGGCAGTGTGTTTCGTCATTGTCAACTTCACATAGGGGGCCCTAAGTTTGCCCCCGACAAGAAGGCTGGAAACTAACACATGCGAGAAAGAACTGTGTGCGGCTTTGCAAGAAAACCAAACTTCCAGGACAGTTGGGAATGTAACTTACAGTTTTCCAAGGAGTTTCTTTTCCAAGACCACCTCCATTTGCTTGGAATATGAGGGACGAAGTCAGTTCAGCCTCTTGAAGCTGGGATCTGTTGGTTTTGAAGGGATCGGTCTCTGATGTGAGGTCCAGTGGACCCTGGTTTGTGTGTTCGAGTTGAGTTCGGACTCACCTGGCGCCACCCATGTTCTATGCTAGTCCTGGTAGTCCTGATCATGGCTGGTCCAGAAAGCTTTTAGGCGCAGCCGTGAACTCACTGAGACACACCAGGACCAGTTAGTCCAGACAAGGATTCGCGCATTGCTATCACATCTGGCATTTGAGGTGTCCAAGCAATTGAGTCGACTGATGACTAAAAATCAGATAATCGGCTAGAGTTATATTATTGTAAGGGTTCACCAACGCACTAGCCCCTGAGATGCCATAGAAACAACAGGAATCTGTTCAGTGTGTGAAGATTGCCTCTCTTGGGAGCATAAATCCCCCCAGCACTCTTGTCTCGTGTACGTGAGACCATGAAAGCATGAAGCCTTGTCTAAGCCAAGACTTGGGAACTCTGAGCCAGTTAATCAGATGACTTCCTTCGGTCATATCCACTCACATCAGCATGAACAAAATTAAACAACAAAAACTGACCATGTGGACCACATCAGATCCACATGTGGCCCATATGTCTTTCAGATCCACAGAGCGATCACGGGATGACCGGGGACGACGGCACGGAGAAAAACGTGGAGACACCAGGCTTGTCGCTTCTTCAGCTGGATCAGCACCACAGGCCTCGCATTCGATTTGTTGAGCGGCCTAGTGAACGTGAGTACTTGGCTGTTGAGTTTTGGTTTGTTTGTGTTGTGTTGTTTCTTTGTTTTTTCTCGGGTACAAGTCACGTGCATGGTTGTGAGAGATGCCGATGTGAACGCACATCAGCCATTCCTGCTCAATAATTCTTGGGCAGGCAAATGCAAGACACTATACTCTGTACAATGTGTTCAATTTTTGTTTGTTCAAACATATAGACAGCAATCCACACGTCATTGCTCCAATGCAAGCATTTGGCCACAATGCACTATACCACTAATACCGACTATACTCCTTAGCATAGACCTCGGGACGCCCAGAATAACTGGTGCAAAGAGGGTTGATCTATCAAGCTTGTCTGGAAGCGTGAACTGTATATAAGTATATATATATAAGTGATGTAATCATATAACCCAGCCCTAGATGTTTGAAGACTTGTTGACCCATCCGGAAGCACTGGAAGACTAGTAGCAATGCGCGCTGGAAGTGGGCAGACTGCTCGAAGTGGGCCGAGTGGCCCTGTGGCCATGCTGCACCAATGGTGGTGGAAGCTCATAGCAGCCTTGAAGCGGCACGGCTGGTGAGTTGGTGAGTTGGAAGATCCAACGCAGGGACATTCCGTTCTTCTCTAAGATGTTCTCTCTATATGTTTCTTTCTTTGATGTGATCATTGTAACACTGACTTAATATGTCTAGAACAGGGGTTCTGCAGATCTTCTTGTGATTAACTTTTGGTCAACTAGCCAGATCTTGCGAGTGGCACGTTTGGGTGTGGACCAGAATCACCAAAGACCTACGAACAAATACATTGAACATTTGTGAACGTTGTCAGGCAAGAGGCGTCATTCTGTTCATGGTTTTACATGTGAACTAGGGCCTCATTGGGGAAAAGGAACCTCCCTGTAGTCGTAAATATATGTTTGCTTCTGCGCAATCTTCCGCTCATCGTTTCTCGATTTTTTCGTCTCCTTGGTTGGGCCTCAAAGTCACATGTCGAAATACAGTGTTGATCCAAGCTGCATTTTGAAGATCAATTGGTGCTTGGCCAGCCGGATGCCTGCTTGACCTAGTTGCACGAAGGAGACAAGATTTTGGCAACTGCACCAGAACAGGCAGCAATGCAGTGCACGTCGTGGTTTTGGTGCTCAACAGGGATGTCCGCCTGTTCTCCTCATTCCAAGGCGTAGACCTGTTCCAAGGCGTAGACCTGCAGGCTTCCGGATTGTTGAACTAGGTCACCAAAGAGGCCACAGTCTGTGCAGTGATAAACAATGCAAAGCAGACATGTAGACATTCACCCCGCCGTTGACCTAGTTTCTTTACCCACTACTTCTACTTGCAGAGTTCTAAGTGAACTTCATTCGATGAATGAAACAGAAGAGTTCGGGGATCGAACAGAGAGCTATGGTATTCTTTTTGGCCGAGGCGTCAAAAGGAGAAGTACAATGAACATAGTGTAATAGATGTACCATAGATGTTGTATATAAAGCAGCATAATAGATGTTGTACATAGAACAATGTCATCTATTGGGTGTCAATGAATCCTGAATCCCACTTGGTCCTTCCGAGAATTCCACAGACTTTGGTTCATCAACTCACCCACCAAGCAAAACTGGGCGGTGGTGCTTCTTCGAACCTGCATCCCAGAAGTGTGTTTGCTAAGGCATGGGGCCTCAAACAAGCAGACCAAACCCGGTTCATGTCCGACCCAGGCTTTTCTTCTCCACCATCTTCATGCCCTTGGATCCCGCGGAGAAGGGCTCCACCTCGCAAAACCGCGCGGGCGGCCCGCCGACCGGCCCGGGCAGCAACGTCCGCCGCATCAACCCGGGTGGTAGCTCTCACACGCAGTTTGGGTCAGGCGCAGGGGCAGAGAGGGTGGAACGAGATTGTTTCTTTCTGGTGTCAAGAACAAAAATTCCTTAAGGGTCTTTCCTTGCAGGCTCCAACTGTTCCTTTACCATTGCGTGCCTTTTTGTTGTTTCATGCAGGTGTTTGTTTGTTTGTTTTTGTGTATGTCAAGATGTTGACCTGTTGCGTGGGCTTATTTGGGGGCTTGAGAGAACGGCACAGGAGACGCTGGGAAGATGTAGTGTACACGCACAGTTCTATTCACAATAATTGCTATAAACATGTAACATCGATTATACATACTCAAACAAATATCATGCATCTAGGGTTTTTAATGGCTGGTTTTTAATGGACTGATGAGAGAAACCACCATCAGAAACCTCATGGATTGAAACGGTTTGAATCCGTCCGTGCGCGCCACCTCCGGGCCGAAGGGCCAACCTCTCCCCTCCCAGGCGGCGACGATGACAACGACTTCATGCGCCGGGGACGGTTCCGAGACAACCGGTGAGAGACCCACCGGGGGCGACGTGACGTGTCCGCGACCCCGGTTAAGAACCGATATTCAAGTGCCACTCCACGGACGTAGTGGGTAGGAGAACACCATGTGCCCGCAAAAAAGACCTAGTGTCCATAATGCGAATGATCAGTCTTATAATAGAGGGTTTACTGTCCTTTCTCTTTTGGGGCTAGCGGCTAGCATATCTCTTGCCAAGTGAACCATTCCAGATCCTCTTGGCTTGGCAGATCCCTTCGGTTTCAGCAAACTTGGGTCGATTGTGGGATCATCCGACCCTGCGCTGTGCGTGCTTGCCACAGGTCTGCAATCAAGATCCATATATTACACTATATAACACCTTCGAAGCAAAGACCATTATATTATATAACTATAATATATGCTCCTAAATGCAGATGTTTTTTGTGTTTCTGCTTGTGTGACCAGAGGAAATTGCGCTGGCAGACCGAAAAAAGAACGCAGCCTTTTGAAGCAAAAAAGGCTTAACCGTGGAGACGGACAGAGGAAATGTCCGGCCGTGGAGACGGGCTTTTGGATGGCAGGCTTTTCGGGGACTGGATTTCAGGGGAGTTCCCAGTCCCATGTCCAGTGTTCATACAAAAGCGACCATCAAGAGACATGTGTTAGATCAGCCTGACACTATACCCAACAGAAGGGCTGCAACCAAGTGTTGACAGGCATCCCCTGTGACTTCTGGCATGCCTTCGATACTCATAGTCTAGGCTCGTTTGCGGGGTCAAAGTCAATCTTGAAGTCAGTATGAACTGTTTATACATAATATATGATGGGCTTCAGTTGCTGCTTCAAGACTTGTTGCTTAGATCAACATGCAGATGTTCACATGCTACATCATGTAGTCAGCCACTGGATCCCTTTGACCCCCTTGCAGTCCACTGTTTCCCTGGCTGTTCTTCGCCCGCGCCGATCGCTCGGCGCCTTCACGCCGCCGCGGGCGAAGAAGCGCGCGAGACTCGCAGGTCGGTGATCCAATCGACCGAGGACTTGAAGCACTTTGAGGTGGGAAGCGAGATTCTGCGGAAATGAGATGCTCAAGAGATTGTTCATGGCCCAGGGGATCCATTTGTTTAATTTCGACATGTTGAGTTTCTTTGTGTTGTTTTCCCATTTTTTCATGTTTTTTGCATGGTATTTGACTTGGAGTCATTGCCATGCTAAGGGGTGTCATGCTGGTTTGTCGGTGTAGTAACTATAGGACTTGCGGTTGATCACCCATAGTGCACCGGCCAGGCTATGGGCCATTGGATTGCCCATCCACTGTGTCTTTTTGCATCATCCCATTGTCGAATGCAATTTGGAACATTCGTTTGAGGTGCCAAAGGGTTCCGTTGTTTGATTCACATCCAAAGCGTTTGGGGGGACTACATGGACTCGGCATGGCTCGGCAGGTGGTCCGCATGGTGAGGACCTTGGGACAGAAGATGGAGGATCGACAGCTGGTCTTGCTGTCCAGGCACGTTTCGCCGACTCGTCCGTGCCGCGGACGACATTGGACTCGTTTTCCCCCAAGGACGACTGGTATGGACGGCTTCTGACCTGCATGATTGGGGGGGGAGAGTGGTGTTTTTGGGGGAGAGATGATCCCACGACGAGGACTCATGTGATGTGGGTCCCATTTTTTCGTGAGAAACTGATATACTCATGCACCTTTTGAGAACTCACAGCAGCTGAACAGTCAGGCGCATGGATTCCATGCTGCGCAGTGAGGCGAGTTTTTGTGCCAGCCAGGACAGTGCCACAGTGCTTTGAAGCAGCTGTATATTTCAGTAACATTTTAAAGTTCATTCTATTCACTGTAGCAGTTAGTGAAAGAAATCACTGATTGTTGGTCCATGGGTCCCTGTATCTCCCATTGACCATCATTGTTTAACAGTTGTTGTGCGCCTCGGATCTGATTCATCATACGTGAATCCTCCGAACTCAGTTGGTGAAGATCATGGATTCAACCTGGACTCATATATGAATGTCATGCATTAATAGACGCTTGTAGTTGCTACTTGTCCTCTTTACAACTGTTTGAGAACCACTTCATGAAATTTGGCCATCAAAACACAAGAAGTACAACCCCTCAGTCTTCGTAGACCCGCGCCATGTGGACATGCACAGACAGACCGAGTCTTGCTTTCTGCACAGATCAATATGACAAGTGACACAGACCCATCATATCTTGCTTTCCTTGTATTTTTTGACATCTTTTGACCGAAGATCCTGCTTGTGCAACCGGCAAGGCCGGCTCTGGGGCTGACATTTTTGCCAAGATCAAGACGAGCCATGGCAGAAATCCTTCATTGAAAACATGTTCATTGGGTTGATTGGCCACCCCACCAGGATCCCCCAAGACGAATCATCAATCTCTAGAAGTCAAGGTCCAGGGGATGTCACGATGTCCATTAAAGGGATCCGGGTGTGCATTGGTCCTGAAGGATTTGTCCACGTTGTGATCGCCGAGGATGATCAATGACATGATCACCTCCATGCAGGAAAATCTCCAGGTCCGACGCTGGTCTTGGTTGGGTGCTGTTGTTTTCTCTATCTCTGCGCAGAGATCTATATACCCTGTGTTTAGTTGTAGAATCTACGCACTATTGAGAGTCAATGAGCTCAGCTATTATGACACCCAATGCCGGGTGCAGGCTGAAGCCACCAAGAAGCAATACTGCGATGCTGAGATGGGTAAGGCCAAGGACAAGAAGGCCCGCAAACAAGAGCTTTAGCATTTTGGATGAGAGTATGTTTATTTATGTCCTCACTTCTTTGAAGGGTGCCAACAGTACCAACAGCTACATTCAGTTCAACGTGGGCATTGTTTGATTTCCACGCAGACATATTGATTTTCTTGGTGTGCTCGGAACATGACAAACGGCGTTTACCCCACCCTCCAAACACATGATCCCTGAAAAGTGCTGGAAAGCCAAGGTGTTTCACTGGAAAGCCAAGGTGTTTCAAGGTTTTTCATGGTTTTTCAAAAGACGATTCATCAAAGCACATGTTTTGCCAAGCTGAAAGGGGTGGAATCGATTCGACGGCAGACCTGAGTCCGGCCAGGCCACCAAGGAGTCTGACTTGGACACTGTCAGCTTGGGAACCCACTGAGAGGAGATGGTTTTCTCATCAGGTAACGACATGTATATAGCTTTAAATATATATAGCTATAGTTACCAACATAGTTTCGATAACTAACATATCACTAGCCTTTCAACATAGCTATTTTTCAATTATTGCTATAACTCCTATTTTATGATTCTCACCGCGGGGTGACGACATGTTACCATTTGTTTGCGCGGATAAGCAGTGATCCAGAACACATGGAGTATGATAGGATTGGTAGGAGCATCCATTTGCAACATTGACATTCCACTTGTTTGCCAAGACTGCTGGAATGAATGAAGGAATTGATCTCTTGTGATCTATATGTTTGGATTCAATCGCCTCTCCATGCCTCTTCAAAACCAGTACTCTTCCAACATTTGACTGTTCTAGAGAAAATATGCAAAGGCTAGAAACTGGCTTGCTATCATAATCATAATAGTCATAGCTGATTTTTGGTATAACCTGCACTTAGTCTAACCACCTGGAGCTAGTTGTGGCCCACCAGGCCCACCACAGCTCAAAGAGAAGACTGACTTCCGGCAGCGATCCCCTGGAAGAAACTGGAAGAAGAGAAATAGACCAGTCTATCCATTGGGCCAGGGACGCCTCCTACTATATAAACCACACATCCATATTGCGACATATATATATATATATATAATATATATTATTGTGTGTGTCTCTCTCTCTCTCTCTCTCCACACACCTGCGTGCGTGGCGTTCCCCAAGGCACTCGGCTGGATGCGGCCGCCTCGAAGTCCGCGAGCCTGAAGAAGCAGGTAGTGCGGACGCCCCGGTGCAGCCGTGCGGACGCCCCCGTGCAGCCGTGCTGGATGGAGACTGGCTGGGTTCCTGAATTCGGTTTGAATGTAGAATTTGCCGTGGCATTTTCGTTTTGGCAAATTAGTGAACATAAAGGCGGTCTGGTTCAAGCTACCTTACCTGCTGAGTATTTGGTGCGACTCTAGTTCCTGCAGAGTAGGTGCGGCAAAGGGATTTGTTCCACGGATCTTTTGTTGGGGAAGGTCCCGCCTGGGTCCTGAAAAGTACAATGTCAAGGTCTTATTTGGTCAGCCAGGCTCTAAAAAGATCAAATTATATAGATCATTGTCAGCTTGTTGGTGCTCCATGAACAAAAAACTGAGTGAGTTTCTCCGAAAGGGTGTTCGAAAAGGACAAGTCGACAAAAGCAGGACCCAGAGCTCCTATAGTTCAGAAAAGTCGACCCCTTTACCGTGGAGGCATGCTCGAGGGCTTTGACCACAGAGAGCTACTTTAATTTGGAGTTGTTTTGCTTGCAAAGGCACAGGAGTGGGTCCTGAGCCGTATAGCTTTGCTAAGAGTGAGTGTAGTCGAGAATGAAGGTGTGTAGCTTTGCTCCATTGACTCTGACGGCTCACTCAAAACCATCAGGCCTGCCGTTTCAAAGACGCAGTTGCAAGTGAAACCGAAACGTGGAGCTTCGACTTGGACAACTAAGATCACAAGGACCAACGCGCATCGCATTGACGCCAGGGACTTGAGACATAACTGGGGACTCCGGTCAATGCACAGCGTGCACATGGCCCCCCCGGTGAAAACAGCGTCACAGTCAAAACGCAGTGATTTGTGTTGGTAGTTCACGTGGTCGCACCAAGACAAAGAGCAAGTACTCCAGCAAGAACAGGAGAAGGCCGAAGGCCAGACCAGCAGGAGGATTGCGAGCTCAAGTGAGCAACAGCAGTCAACAGGAGTATGAAGGCCAGCTGCAGTGGCAACCACCAGGAGGAACACCAGGAGGAACACCAGCAGGCTTAATATCAGGATATATCAGGTCAACACATGTCCTTCATGTTCTACCAGGACCTTCAAAGCCACCTCTTTGGAATCTTTGTGACGGTGACACCCCGGGCGATTCGTTTTCCCAAACTGCTCCTTCGGTCAGCTCTGCGACCGAGCCCGTCGCCCACCGGCCCCAGGCAGCCCTCAAGTCCCAGCTCGCCGTCCTGGCCGAGACCCAGGCGACGGACGAATCGTCCCTGTTTGGTGTTTGGTTCGGACACCGGGTGGACGGAACATATGCCTTCAGACGTGTCTGTGCTCTCTTTGTATGTGTTCTATTCTTTTTATGGTATGTGTTTTTCTTTTAAATCTAGTTTTATTTTAGCAGTTGGGGTTGTGATGACGAGAGGATAACCTTAGGAAACAACCTTGTTTCTTCCAGGTTCTTCCTATGAAACCATCGTTAACTACAAGGTTATTGATGGACTATATAGTATAATATAATTACTATATTAAATACTATCCAAAGGAGGCTGTCATATTGTTTCACAAGAAACCACATGTCAAAGTGCAACTGATGCAAACGGGTAGTCAAACGGTTATTTCCATGTTTTGACTCCGGCATCTCCGGTTTGGCAAGAATTTGCCATAATGCCTTCCTCTTCAAGCACAAACAGATGGCCACCTCGAGCATAGTAAGCAGCCTGTTGGAGCGAATCATTCTTTGGGCCTTTGGGCAAACTCTGCTGGGGCGAACGTCCGAGGCTAACATGACCCAGCTTCGGCAAGAAGAGAAGGAACTGCCTGGGTTCTCAGCGGTCTCGGTCCAAATACCTGCTGTGTCATCCAACGGGAGGTACACCTCTTGAGCTCGGCCGTCGAAAAGGGTGGAGGGTGCACTGTTCCCCTGTGCCATCCCTACTTTAAGACTGAGACAATGGTCAGAAGTGGGCAACTGGAATAAAGAATGGGATTTGGAAAGAAAGACTTGCGGGTCAAACTGAGACCTGTGGCCAGTCTGAAAGATACGATTCTTGAGATTTTTTAAATTGAACAACAAGATCATAATTTGTTTCTCAAAGACAGCAATATGTAGCCCATAAGCTGGGTACTCGTGGGTACTGCTAACGTCCAAGTAACTTTAAGTAGGTTGACATTTGCTGGCACCAGCACAATTTGCTACCATGAGTTCCTGGACTTGCCATGTCTTAGCAGCACGATGTCCGCCAATGTCCATGCGGGCGACCAGCTGCGGCATGAGCTCTAGAAAGATGTCAACATGAGTCAACATGGCAGCTGACCAGCAGCTGATTCAGGGAATTGAGGCGACTCGTTTTAGATCGAAGACATATTGAAACCCAGAATCCCTCCAAGTTCCATGTGGGATGGGTGGGGGGGGTTGATTCCATAGTTTCATGTTCATTGGTGAAGCACATTGCAAGGCTTTTCGGTCCGTTCAGCTCGATGTTCTTCCTTCTAGGTTTGCCAAGAAGGAACCGGAGACTGAGACGGGCATGGAAGGTGTGAAATCCGCTCTCAGGAGCCACGGGGAGCTGTTCAACTCTGGTCTCGGTGGAAGTTCGGAGGATGAACGCCGACATGGGGGCGGTTTTTTGTTTCTATTGTATTTATGTGTTTGTTAAATTCTTTTTCGGAAGTCACGAGAGAGAGGGAGAGAGGGAGGGAGATCGGACCAGGGGTTCGTATGTACATGCGAGATCACAAGAGGCAGAGAGAGAGAGATTTGTGCCCTAAAATGATCTATAATCTATAATATACAATGACACTCCATGGTATGATGATTTGAAACGACATCTCTATCATACACTATCCAATCCCATAGTGTTTTGTCCATCAGATTGGTGATTACGTACAGACGTTTGTCCAGGAAAAAAATCAGACAGACAGGACCAGTGGCTGGCAACTCATAGCATTGAAGGTGACTGCATGTGGCTGCACCAACGGCAAACCACTTGTCCATTGCCATGTTGGAGAGACACGGTTAGAGATGTTTGCGGCGTTCTGGAAACTGCAGAAATCTTATCCCAGATACTACTAAGTCACTAAGTATTTAAAGGTTTAAGCCTAGCAGCAGGCCACTGACCAGTTGGCCAGTGAGAGCAACGGGGGAGGGGAAGGAGACGAAGAAGAATCATTGTGCCTTCTTATCAACAAGAGATCTCGGAAACAGAACGGCAACAACAACAACAACAGCAACCACAACACTCAGCAAAATCGATAAACATTGGGCAAAGGGCAAACACCCCCCATCAACAAAAGCACCCACCAGCAACCACAACGACGACGACAACGGTTCAGCTTCTTTGCTCTGCTCCTGAACCGGATTGAGCCATCTAGCTGCTGCACCGAAACCATCCAAGCAAGTAGACCACGGCGAGTCCGAAGGTCCTTGAGCCTTGAACCATTGAACAATTGAACATATTCTACATGCCAGCCTACCATTTTGTAGGATACTATGTCATGAAGTAGGTGTTACATGGCATCGCCCATTGCCAGCCATTCCCTGATATTGATGCAGCTGCATGTGCATAAGCCATATCCTACGCGTTGATGCAGCGCATGACAGCGATCTTTAGCGATTTGCGTGGTACGGATCATGGGCTGTGCCCGGTCTATGCGGCATGACCAAGACATTCTTCCAGGAAAGGGTCATCCGATCAGGTCCGATTATTGACTGATCCCCCCCGGCGCAAACTAACATGGAACCTGAGAATTGACCAGTGGAAGATCGTTTTCCTCTACAACCCAGTGGGTTTTGGGGTTCCCTGTTAATCTGTGGGGAAGTAAATCCCAGACAATCCATGTATGGAATATTTACCTACATTGACCACTGAAACCACTTCAATGTAGGCAAATCTTCTATACGTGGAGTGTTTGGGAATCATTGTTATAGAATTCTTCCGGATTGTACCAACGGTGGACCATTTCGCTCGTCCGACGGTGGACTTGTCGTGGTCAGGACACTGCGTGACTTCTACCGCTCCTCCGGGTTGGAGGCCTCGACATCGCGTGGGACCAGGGCCACCAGGGTGGTTCATGGACACCCCTTAAATCCCCTTATCTAAATCAGTTTTGGTGATATCTTTCGGGGGGATTAGTATTAGACGCCCCGAACTGGGGGGCCATGGCCATGGCATGTCATTTATTATATGATACCACAATAATTTGTTCCTTACGGTGCATGGCACGGAACCAACCTTGTACAATAGTATACATGAAAGATTGTAATATATAGTATATACATAACTATATACTTAAATCATAATGTTTAAATGTTCTTTGGGAGTAACCTGCATCACCAACTGCCCCCGCAATTGTAATCGGCCGGGGGACTTCACCCAGCAAGACCTATACCGAACCCCAGAACGGCTGTTCTTTTCAGAGAGTGACTAGACTATAGAGACTATTGACAGTGCCCTCATGGTGTCGCTCAAATACTTCAAGATATCTCATGTTTGGACGGCTGAGCCACGACCTCAGAAGGGCCGCTACCGGACACCAAACCCACTCCTTTTTTCGCAGGTCACCAGTGGCGAGCGGAAGGGCACCGCAGGAGGCAGGGTCACCTGTAGACTTATCATTCTTCATGCCATCATTGAGGCTTTGTGGTCATTTTCGGACCGCGGACCTCCAAGTGTTTGATATGGTGGTACACAGTTACACTGGTTGATATAGTTATCACGGCCATCCAGTCGCAAAATCGACTCTCTCCATCTGCCATCACGGCAAAATGCAAAGGGTGACAAAATCAGCAAGGGCGCTGGAATCGAGTCTCAAGTTTTACTTGTTGTTACATGGGTGAATCATTTTCTTGACGTGTCCAATGTCAATGTTCAACATGATCTCGTCCATGTATCATTGGATGCCACCAACAGCGAAGTCCTTGAACACTGCATTAAAACTGACTTCAACCACTGAAGCGTCGGCGCTTTTCGCCTCACGCTTCCCTTTCGGAACATGCCTGGCCGGCAGGTGTGATCGGCCGCTTGGAGGCTGGGAGAGCACGAGAGTCTTACAGGACGGTCGAACGAAGAAAAAAGGGTCACATAGGACTGAACGACCGGGAGGTCTCACTGGACTGGAACGGTCACTTCATGTTTTTTTTGACAGCCTTCCAGTGAGGGACACCCTTCCACTGGAAGAACACTGGACAACCTGCGGACATATTTGTTGTTTGTTTGGTCCAGCCTTCTGACACGGAAGTGACCGGTCAAGCAGTGCAATTTCGCGCAGACACGGTCTCCCAGTTCTTGTCAGTCTTTGTGGACAGATGCGCCAGTCAGAAGCAACAGATGCACAGTGGCATGATTCAAGCTGGAAAGACTGGAAAAGTGCGAGGCAACAGCCATGCCTCCAGTGATAGTTATGGTGTTTCTGCGTTGTTGCTCTAAATCGCCAACGGTTTTTTTGATCGCAAAAATGCTCGTGTTTTTTGTTTCAACTCCTGGTACTTGGCTCCTCACGCTCCATCCAGGCTGCTTTGCAGCAAGTGCTCTGCTGAATTGTTTGGGGTCGGGTCGACAGGATGTGGAGGCCGACATGGCCATGAGCTTGTCCCAGATGCCGGAGTGCCCAGCCACGGCTGGTTTTGCAGAGAAGAGTGGGCCCCAACAAAACTCAAGAGAACTGAACAAACCTGGAAACAGGTGCAACAGGCTTAGAGAAAAGGTTCGGAAAATATGTTGGACAAAGATTTATGAATGGGATTCTTTCAAAGGATTGGATCAGACAGCCAAACAATAGACTCTTGTCGCACTTTTGATCATTTAGTTAAATTTGCATTTTCACGTCTATAATTCCCATTCCACCCATTCCATGTGATGGCTAGATCACTTGCTGAAGTCTTGAATGGACATGAGTACTCAACCCCCCAGCACTTCCAGGCAAATCACAGAAAGAGCGCCTGGATGTTCCACCCCCGTCGCCCCATTCAGGCGCTCGGCGGAGAAGAGCGTGCGGATGACCCAGTCACCCGTGCCTTTCCGAAGCTTCACCTGATCTCATCAAAACGGGGGATCCAGCTGATCTCGGAGTCAGAGCTTTCGACACGTGTCGAACTTCCTGAAAAAGCCATGACTCCACGCGGTGGACGAGCGGATGGCACCACCTGTTGGGTCTTCGGATTCAGAAGGGTCATCCCGGGGCCATTCTCCATCGTCACGTGACCATGATAATTTTAAAGAGTGTACGACTATGTAAGACTCGCGACGTGGGGCCACGAGCCAAAAGCAACTGCCATCAACTGCGCCCCCCCTGAGAATTCTGGATTTTTGAACTCCCTCTAAATCACCTCACGCCGAGGTCCATTTGAAACACCCAGCGCGGGTCTTGGGGTACCGGGAATGGGTCTTTGGGCTTTGGGACACTTGGGGCGCGGGACATGGCCTTTGCGAGCAGGCGGAGACCAATTTCGAGAAGGACATGCAGGATATGAAGTTGGAGAAAGTCCAGAAGGACCTTCAGCCCTTCATAGGGTTCGAACGTTGGAAGAGTGGGAGGATGCTTCACGAGGTGATTTGCGGTGAGTCAAGCTTCTTCGATGTTGTTTAAATATATCTCCATTCAGCGCCCAAGAAGATCCTTGCAGATACGTAGAGACATGCAAAGAGATCATGCACCTGCTGAAGTGTTTTGAATACACCAACCAGCTGGCATCGACCAACCTCCTGGAAGTGTCAACATGTCATGAAAGATCATGTTTGCCAGCTCTGGAAGATCTTTGTTTTGGGTGAAGCGAACCACTCGAACACCGAGATCACCACTCACGGAGAATGAGGTTCCGCCCATGCCACACGTTCCGTTTTGAGGGCCTTGGAGAGCAGTGACTGCCCAAAGTTCCCCTGGCTTTGGCGAGGATCCAACTCGACCACTCCTTTAGAACTTCGAGGTTTTTGGATCCAACTCGAAGAATCTCCCAAGCCCGGTTGAACCAAATCTGGGAGTCTGGAAGATCCCGGAAAACGTGGTACGTTGTACAGTTCCATGGTCCATACCACTTTACCAACGGCATTGAAAATGCACTGAACATGAGTTTGTTGGTGGTTTTCCAAGTGGAATCCATCACCTGCACCACATGCGGTCAAAGGTCTTCTCGGCCGCTGGATCACCTGTTGAGACCTTTCGGGGTGATCAAGAGACCATGCCACTTGGCCACTTGGGTGTAATGCCACTTCCACATGCCACTTCTACATTGAATTGCCCGTAGATCTACCGTAGATCGTGCACAAAGAAAAACTGCGACCGTGTGAGAAAACCCGGATCAACTGATTTCTTGCCTCTTGCCATACCCCTGGAGGGGGGGTAGGGCGGTCGCAAAATACACAGGTTGAATGACATTTGGCTCAAAGAAAGATGCAGAACAAACAACAAGAAACGACACGAACATTGGCCTTATTGCAGCATGTATAAAGTTGTTCAGCAAGTTGACCAATTGGGATTCCCTGAATTTGACAAGTCCACCAAGTGTGCGATTGACCTTGCGTGTCGGATGCTAAAATGAATCTATGATGCTAAGATGTTTGACACTTTGACCCAGGAGTCCTTTGCCAGGCTGTTTTGTTTGTGGGCTGGGAAGGGCCGACGTTTCCGTCCACACCATCGGCTTTTGTGCAGGAGAAGGACATCAGCTACAAGAGCTCCGAAGCGCAGAGGCCGCGAAGGGATGGACCGTTGGGTCGGGTTTTGAAGGGACACGCCGAAGCAAGGCTTTAAGGGAAGGAACTGGGAGAAGGATGAGATATGAAGTCAGCATCCAAACTGAGACCCCAGGACTTTGGACAGGTTTCTCGGTTTCTCCCTTCCTGACGGCCATTCATTTCAAAACATAAACAAACTAAAAACCAAATAACTACCTTTGTCTAATCGATCAATATCATATCATATCCCACAGGTTTCAGAGGAATGGCCAGGAGGATGAGCAGCGTGTTTCATGCCGGGAACATGGCGTGACGTGTGTTTCATGCGGCAAATCCGTCACATGCTGGAACTCCTTTTCTGAAACGAACAGTGAGGAATGCTTGGCGATGTTTGATCATGTTTGCTTCCCTTTCCTGGTGTTTTCATGTTATTTTTCTCAGATCAATCATGAACTATCAGCGTGCTGCTTGGAATCAACGTGGCAGGTTGGACTCTGAGCTGAACAGTCTCAATTCTGACCAAGAGAGTTGCTTGGAATGGGAATGCAGGGAATACACTACACCAGAATCAGGCTGTGTTGCTTAGATTGTGAAGAGGTTGGACTGCCAATTTTGGTATCCACCAAAGTCCAAAGCTTCTGCAATTCCACGTGTACAGGAAACTTTGTGAATGGTTGACCACCTGGGCGACCTTGGTGTTCAGAGTGAGCAGTTTCACAGAGCCTGAACATCGCCCGGGGCCCTCCTACGCTCTCCACCTTCATCTCAGTCCCCTTTATAACAAAGAGCGAAGGAATTGGGAGTTTGCTCGGAGTTATTTTCTAATCTCCCAATACGGTGGAGAGAACGAGAGAGAGAGAGAGAGAGACAGAAACAAAAAAACAGATAAATGCATGAAAGAACTCACACACATTTTTTTGATCACATGATCCATAAGCCTCTCTAGAAGGACAGAAGGTCCGGGAACCAAATCATGTGGATGAGGAGGGATCCCCCTTGAGGAATCTATTCGGCGTCCCTTTCAGGAATTAATCACAATGTTTCATGATGTGTGTTTTTAGGGGTGGGTTGGACTAAGTTGATTTTGGGTGTGTATAAAGAAAAGCTTTGTGGGGCACATCCTTTCTGAGCATGCTTTTGGATAGGAGTTAATACATAATTTAATACATGTTTTCCTGGAGGTGGGGATTCTTGGTGATTTAGGGGTGGGTTGCCCCAGAAGATCATCCAAGAGGTCCAAGAATAGCAAGGTTTGAGAAGAGAAACGTTTCTAAATTGGCAATAAGACCATATAGATGAGGGATTGCTGAAATTCACCGTTTGGTAGTGAAGTTGGGCAATTTATCTGGAGCGGTTCACTTGAAACATTGGCCAGGCGGCATTTTGAAAGGTGGTCAGTATTGCCAGGAAAAGCTGTGCCAAATTGTACATGTTGTGTGATTTCATTATTCTTATAGCTAAAAACAGGTCGCCAACTCGATGTTATTCTGAAAATTCCTCCATATAAATGCACGCAATTAGACGTTCATGTTCAGAAGCCCAACGAAAAAATAGTTTTCCATTGGATCCCAGGAGGCCTTTTTCTCACTCCATCCTGGTGAGGCCTGCAGACAGAGATGGGCGCTCTAATGGACTTCCTGAAGAGCTTGTGGCTCGGATGGAACGTTTCGCTCGGAGTTTTGCTGCGAAGTTTTGTTTTGGCAGGTTTGAGATGGAGGAGGAGAGTTTGGTCCAGATAGTTTCAGTAAGCCTGCAGATGTTCCTTTGTGTGTATATCATATACACCACATGTATATATATATACTAAGTTACTATATCTATATATGTTGTAATTACAGCTTTCTGGAGGACTTGGGAGGCCAGTGGAAATTTCAGCCATTCGCAGATCGATCAGGTGGTTCCCTTGTCAAGGGTCTCTTGGAAATTGTGAGACAATCTAATTAGAGACCTCTATAAACTAAGGCCTGATGCAAACAGTTTTTTTGTGTAGTTGTGATATCGATGGCATAGACCTACATAAGATGGCAGTGCCACGTTGTATAGGAGCAAGGCCGGCAAGGAAAAACAATATCACGCGTTCAGTAATTACTTTGTGTCGGCGAACGTATCACATGGAAATCATGGAAGGTAGCCTTGCTTGCCATCACCTGAGAGCTCTGTGAGAGCTGATCAAGGTAAATTCTGGGATCCAACCAATCAAACCGGCCCAATTACTCCACCCAGAGACGAAGCTTTTCATGCTGCAGTCATGAGCGCAGCTTGCACCAACCTCGCCTGAAGACTTTGGCCTTTGCACGAAGCTCAGGGAGGCTGAATGCCTGGTGACCCCCGAGTCCTTCGCTGAGAAGCAGGTGCTTTGCCGCACGTTCCCATGAGTTCTTGCAAGAGCGTCGTCAACCAACTGCAGATAGCCATGACTCAAACATATTTAAAACAACGAGCACGCATATACACCTTAAAGCAAACATAGACAACACACAACCAGATGATATGAATGGTTATGGTTGTTGCTTGACAGGGGAATTGACCTGTGAGATGGAGCCATTTGACATCATTTGAGCCATGACACAAATTGGATGACTCGAACTCCGGCTGTGGCCGTGACAGGCGAAGAAGCAGCAGGAGATTGCTGGGTGCGTGCCTGAGAAACGCCAGGACGCTGCGCTGCTTCGTAGGGTTGGTGTATGAGACGTTTGGCTGCTCGGTTGAACCGTTGAACGGCTGGAGATTTCCATCCAGTAGAAGAAATGGTGTGGCCTTGCTGGAGGAGAGCAAGTCCACCTGAATTGGATGTGGTTGGTATGGGTGCTCGATGCGTCCCGTAGATTCCCAGAGCTCCTCTTTCTTTCGGGGATGAGCATATGCACAAGGAACATGTGATGCTTATTTTGTTTGTGTCATGAAATGATCCGAACATGCCGACCCAGGACCCTCAACGCAGCCAGCCTATACGGTGCCCCCAAAAAAGCGGTTCCCCTCAACGGTTGCCGCGTTGGAGCCGGGCTCCCTCAGCTCCCAAGGCTCAAGGAGGCTTTGAGCGCATTGGACGCTACGGCGGAGCGCCGTCGTTGAGGGGTGGGGGTGAGAGTGATTGATATGAAAGAGTCCGTTTGTTTTGTTGAAAAAGGATACAAAGATATACAAAGTAATTATGAAGCGCAACTTTGACCACAATTTTCAGATATTTTAAGCGTTACTTTCCACTCGTTCAGCCAGAACTACTGCCGAAGCGAAGCGAGCAGCAGCCATAATAGATGCATTTAATTTCACGAATCTTTGACATGTTTCTTTGTTAGGGGTGGACTCTTGATTAATAAACCCTCCATTTAAAGAGGATGTCCACTTCAAACAAGGGGGGTTTATGGTCCTCAAGAGTTGATGGATGAGCTGCACTCGCCGCCAGAACTGGCGTCTTACTGGTCGGTCCCGATCCTCCCGTGCGGTGCCGCAAGGAGACATCCGCCTTGCTCCAGCGGCACGAGCGTGTGCGGAGGGCCAGTGTGAGGAGCCTCAACGAAGGTGGAGCGATGGCAGGGTCCCGGGTCCCTTCATGAACCTGAAGGGACCTTTGATTGGGATGTCAGAATATACAGACCTTTTGTTTGGAGGAGCATCTATCGACATGTATGGAGACGTATGGGCTTTCCAAATCAAAGCAGGGGGTCAAAGAGGATACAGGCGAGGCATGGATGCCGAAGTGTCGAAATGTGTGTCATTTGTGTCGTGCAACTTGCAATGGCTCAACAATGACGTTTTGACGTCCAATCGAAACGAGCTGGTTTGGATGCCACTGGTATTCAATTAGATGGTACCTTAATGTTAAGACATGTTAAGACACCATTTGGTGCGTTTGGGGTGTAAGCATCACCCAGCAAGGGTGTTCCCACGACACCACACAGAACCAACAACATCCCTGGTGCCTTTGAGGTGGTGTACCTAACGTCTTGCATGGTGGATGTTTCTGAGGATAGCAGGATAGCATGTTCTTTGAAGATTCAGATGTTCCAAACAGACACATGGAAGCTGCTAGAGCTGGCTCGGGAGCTGGCTCGGAGCTGGTTGACGGGGTGGTCCATCGTCATCCGGTGCAGATGCGGACGTGGGGAAACTCCTTGAGTCATGACAAGGGAATACCTGGAGGACCATAGAGGACATATGAGGACATTCATAGTTTTCAGGAGTGAACCGTGGTATTGGTAGATTTTCCCCTCTCTTGGACATCCCATGTTGATCCATGCCTTTCATGGGAGCCTGGAGAGCCCGGGGATGCCAATTCGCCAGGGCGGTTTGGACCTGTCTTGATCATGCCTCGAGTAATGAGTTTAAGGGGATTTGACATGTTTCCCATTGTTAACTTTGACGACGAATTTGACGATATACAATCGCAACCTGAGTACGAAGCAGGGAAAACCTGGAAACCCATCATGCAAGGTACAACAGGCGTCCAAGCTACGTGAAGCCCGCCATTTGTGGCACACTCCTGCAGATTAACATGGAGACCCAAACCACTGGGTTGTAGGGTAAAGGGATAAGTTTTCAGGGTCCAGGTTAGTGTGTGGGTAACTATGTTCAGTTGTTTTTTCTATAATTTTCTATATACCCCAATCGGTGTAAGGGAAGATCTACTGGAAACCATGCTTCTCATGAGGCAAGCATGGTGACGTTGACTTCGTCACCTGGGTGACGACCACTCTGGGTGTCTCTGAAGGCTTTTCTCAACCAATTCTGAAGGCTTCAAACTCCTCCCCTTACGCCGGCTCGCCCAGGCCAAGAGCGGTGCCTCGCTGCGGGGCACCGCCCTGGCTCCATGAGGTGGAGGGCGGTGAAGGGTTTCGGAGCGGTGCTCGGTGCTCGGTGCCGCCCGACCCATGAAGCCATCCCAAGTAACATGTGGTACCAGCACCACCCATGCAAAGGGTGGTTGATAGACCCCCCTGAAGATGTACCTGTCCATCCAATAACCACCCGAACTGGGTGGTGCTGGTAAATGGGCCATACATGGAGTCTTCTGGAATGAAGACATGCATGAACCACCTAACATGGTCAACACGGTCCCCACATAGTGGCCTTGTCGCGGGAGAACATGGATATTCGACATCGCGGCCAGAGGACCTCAGTGTTTGGGATATGAAACACCTTCCAACAGATCTATTTTCGATGCGTACCAGTGACACCATCCCAAAGAGGAAGACTCATGGCCAAGCCAAAGGTGATGATTCTTTCTTTGGGGGTGCCAAGACAATCACCTTCCGAAGAGGTACTGTACATCTCTTATCTATGCATATCCCAGGTCAGGGATCATATGTACATGTACAACCCAGATGTCGCCCAGATGTCCCATTCCCAACTCCCAGGAGCGATCCCACTTGATGGCCTTCGCTGAGGGCGTCCTGCATTCGGGATCCAAAAAGCGCGTTGTGAGTCAGTGAGTCAAGTGTTGAAGTGCTGTGGAGTCATAGTCCCACTATGTACCACTGTGCCTCAAGTGCCTCCAATTGCTTGCGCTCCCCAAGAGTCAGCTAGAATCTAAGTACCTGCTGAGACATTATTCGTATGTTCCAACTTCGAGAAACTGGCAGGCCATGTACGTTTCGTAACTCGTACAGTAACTCTCATTGGCCAGCCTTCGAGTGTTGTCAACCACATGGAACCCCCAATGGTTTCTCCTCAATGGGGGGGTTGCCAAGATCGCCGATCGGATTAACGTCAGACCACGAAGTCCCCAGTTGTTTGGCTTTGAAGTTACTGCATTGCATCTAGAGCCGTTGCAGCAAATTGGGGCATGTTCCATCTACCTTCATTAAAGCAACACATTAGATACTGTCTCACGGCAATACTAGAGCAGACTGACTTTATCGTGTCTTTTTTGCTCTAGGGGGGGACACCTACAGGACACCAACCCAGGACCAGTTCCACCGATCCATTTCAATAGAGCAGCCACTGATGCTGCTCATTGGCTTGCATCTCTGTTTGTCCTTGTGCACTCCGACAGACTCACATCACTTCCATGTGAAGTTCACCACCTGTTCGTAAAGGAAAGGCCTGTTTGTCAAGGGAGCAATTGTCCACACTTCCATAGTTATAGTGAGTCAGAGTGTAATGTTCTTTCCTTTTTATGTTTGGCCTTTGGTGATGTCTTTGCCCTCGATGTTTGATTCTTTGTGGCACCTGAACCTCGCCAAGCTTTTCCACAGCTATTGGCCAAAGCAATGTAGGAACATGTTGGAACTAGTTTAGGAACAACATATACACTACAACTACTTTTAGCTACAGTGCTGTATAAACTAGTGTTGGAACTAGTTTTGGAACTGTTTAGGAACATCTATACACCTTTGATTCTGTCCTTCAACAACTGCGCGGGACAATCCCACTAAGCTGACATCCCCATCGCCACCACCTAACTATACTCGGTCCCAAGGCACCGGTCCAACGGCTTTTCCCAATCCATCCATCCGTGGCGCGAGCGATCAGTCCGTCTTCGTGGCCCATGGATGGGGAGCTCGGGCGCCGAGGGAGCGAGCGCTACGCTCGTTCGAAACCTCGCTCCCTTCTTCTGGAGGGTGTCATTTGGATGTGTGTCTGGTATAGGGGATCGATGTGAATCTATAACTCTCATGAAAGTGAGGTGGCACTACAACATGGTCCATCCGTTCTAGTGAGAGGCTGCTTCAAAACTGAAATCACTACTCAAACGCTTCAGGGCGACGACGACGACCTTCGTGTGTGATATCTACCATCGCTTCCCGTCACTAGTGTCTGTGAATGCTTCGTCACAGCCGGAAGCTTGGGTTGGCTCAGAATGCGTCAACAATCAAATGATCGCCCTCAAATCAAATTGTTTTTGACATGAATTTTGGATTCTCGATTCGGATAATTTCGGCAGTTTGATGCTGTGCACCAGTGATTTTGGGGGCCCTGCCGAAGTTGGGAATGCAATGGAGTCCACAATCCACTTGGTCCGCCCAACTGACGAATGCTCAGGGATTCCAGAGACGAGTCCAGAGACGCGCATAAACTTCGCGCTTCGGCAAGGCCTGGGAGGTTTGTTGGGCCATGTCTCTCCCAACTGACGACCTGTTAAAGGACACGTGAATAACAGAAGGAAACCTGGCAGTTGTGGTTCAGCAAGCTGTTCCAAAACATCTACAGTATATCGGTTGATCCTGTTGTTTTCCATAATTTGGACCCCAAGAATCCTCAAGAAAACCAAGTTGAGTGGGTCATCACAGTGTGCACCACCAAGTCACCATCCGCAAATATCTCGGTCCTAGGTCATCACCATCCGTGGACTTGGCACCTGTGGACTTGAGAGGTTCGCAATCAGAGACCAGGTCATTAGGACGTTTGCTTTAAAGACTCATTTCAAAAGCGTCTCACTTCAGCTATGACCGAACCCCCTAAAAGGATGATGAGTGAGGACTGCAACCATCCAGGTGATCTGGCCCTAGCTCGCTGGGGCCGTCAATTCATTGCTAAGATGTGAGGTTCACATGCCCTTCTTTGCTGCATACAAGTACCACCCGATTTACTAGCGCGAAGCGCTGTGAGTCCTCTATATCCCAGACACTCCATGTTTTGTTATGCGTGTCCTATCTACACGCATTGGGGTGGTTTCAAGGGTCAATGTAGGCATATATACCATGGGTATCCATGGGCTCCTGGTATTGCTACTAGGAACACGAAGCTACTAGGAACAAAGGGCATCGCTACTAGTTGCTTCCTTGCTACTACTAGCAATGCCCTTGTTACTAGCGATGCACTTGTTATAGTTCTTTCGGGACCAAGGCACCTCCACAAAAAAGCTCGCCACATGTCGCCAGGGCAAGCTATGCAGCTCGCTCGGTGAATTCCGCCTCCTGGTCACTGGCCTTGGATGGACTGGAGGGTGACGCATGGATTGAATGGATTGTAAAATATTAACACACACCCAGACATGGATTGTATAGCCTCTACATATGCAGTTTGTGAAGACTGACAGTCTACATGACATCACTTCAGCATGTCACTCGTGTTTTGGCTCAGCCGAGGGCCGCTGCTCCACGAGCGCGCTGCTTCCGGGCCTTGTCCCATGGCCTGAGGGGCCTTGCGCGGGCACAGGTCATCGTGGACGCCGGGCTGCCTGCAGAGGTGCGCATGGTGGGAGACGTTCAGGGTGGGTAAGATCTGTGAATGTCATTGATGAGCTGTGCCCTCTGCAGGATCATGATGGATCTTAAATGGATCTTGGGATGTTGACTTGTTTGGAGATGCAGAACATGTTTGGGGTCATTAAGGGCAGGGTGCTGGATTAAGGGCAGGGTGATGAGGTGATGCAATCGTGCGGTGAAGCTCGGAGATGTGTTCAGGTACAATTTCTCACTGCTGCGCCCACTGCTGCCCCCGAGCATCTACTGAGCATCTATACTATACACCATATACATCCCCACATGCATCATCAAGCATCCACATTGCGCTTAAGTACTGTTGGCGTATTTGGTCCTTCTTCTCGCCACGAGAGTTCCCTGTTGGGCCCTTGAATTCCACGGATCTTCTCGGATCACATCGGCCGTGCGATGAAAACCCATCGGTCGTTGAACCCATCGGCGGCCCTAACATAGCGGCCAGAAGCATCTCAGGCAGATCGTTTTTGAGGGGAAGTCTGAGAGCAGGAATCGACTAACATTTGTATCATTTGATTCCTTGTGCAAGATAGTATATGTACTACCACTTCCATCTTGGATTGACAAGTACTCGTACCAGGCTGCAAATTGTGAATCTTAAACACGCCTGCATGTTGCCTTTGCTATCCCGGTCCCTTGCTTTTTTTCTCCCAGGTGGATGTGGTGTCACTGGTGAGGCGCATCGTACCTTGGCTGCTCCCCCCAGAGCATGCCGCCTGCGACGATGGACCCGGATCAACGACTGTTCGAATCTTTTCTACACTTTCAGGCGAGAATCAAGATGCTTCATTCGAATACCAGACACAGTCCCAGACACATCCCGTGTATGGATTAATTATAGCCTTATGGATCCCTATAGCATATATGTAAAAATATTGTTTAGTGGGTGATTTCAGTTTGCAGATGCAAAAGTTCCCATGTGTTTCCACGTCGAAATCACGGAGCTTCGTACGCAGTTTACATGAGGCCCTAGCTGGCCATGAGTGTGAAGAGCTATGAAGAGCTTAAAGCAGGTCATGTACAAAACAGTTGCCGGGAGTGTTGCATAACAAACTCATAACAAGACCGACACACCGATTCCGCCGATTCCGTCCGACAGATCGAGGCCTGGGAGGTGAAACATATCCAGCCATTTGCAAAGTAGATTGGCACGGAACGGCCCAAAAAAGGATAGGTCAGACGGGAGTGGGCCAACTTCCAGACTTTTGTACGAGCACGACGAAGTCAAATGTGGTAGTCTAAACCCTCAAGAAAGCTTTCGCAAGTCCCAAAAAAGCTGAGTTGCTCCACTTTGGAGCGGTCTCTCGCTGCCAGCTTTGCTTCGTCATCGGACGCCCAAACAGTTAAGCCGTTTAGCCTGTGGCATTTGGGGTGTCCAATTAGGTTGAACCAGTTGCAAGGGACCGTTCACTCACCCCTGTCCAAAGCACAGATGGCCTTGTACTATTGGTTGATATTGGTTGCGTTGCTTGGTTGATCGTTGATCGGGATACATGGAGATACCCCCCAAGTGAACATCCATATATATATATATATTTATATATGTGGTACCAAGACCAAATCGATCCCTTTGTACTCTCTTCTTCTCAAAAGAACATCGGTCCAAACACTTCAAAGAACCTCTCTCGCTCGGTTGATCCTCGAGGCGTTGACCCTGGCCTTCCCTGAGACCTTCCGGAAGGCGGGAGGACGAGAATCCCTGATTCGACCCACCAGCGGAAGATCAACATAGATCAACCATTCACTTCATGAATTCAAGGATCCGATTTGTAGGTGCCGAGTTCCGATTCGTTCCGATGATTTGAGATGAAATGATGGGGGAACAAACGCTGTTGAACATGGCAACTTAAACTTGCATTTGTAAACCAACCATGGACATGCGTGGAAATGAATTCAATGCACTATTTGAACTTGATGAGTCAATGATGAGCCGATTCCAGTTATAAGCGTTCGGCCATGCTCGTTTCCAGCATATCTAGCAGCATCCGAAGTTGCCCTTCTGCAGGCCATCACCAGCCTTTTCGACAAGCTGGCGGAGCCCAAAGATGGTGAGCTGGTCCAGCCCAGCCCCGGTCCGATGTCAGCTGACTGGCCCGGCCCAACTGGGTTGAGCCATGGCCAGACCAACGCGAAGACATTTCCTCCAGTTGACACGTACTTGTACTGGGGTTAGTTGAAGTATGTTGAAGTCGTAGCTCGAACCATGCAAATACAGAGTTCCTGCAATTCCTTGGAAATATCAATCATTCATTCATGATCATTGGAGTCAGAGCGTTTCAATGCGTTTAGCCATTGTTCCACAAAGGTATGTTGATGTTGGAAAAACTACGAGAGGGGAACTGACGTTACAGAGATAGAAGTGGATAGAAGATGCTAGAAGGAAGAGGGGAACTGCTGTGACAGAGAGAGAAGTGGATAGAAGATGATAGAGGGTAGATGTCGATCGTGTTGTCTCTTGTTCAATTCCCATTTCCAATGAAGCCCAGTCGTGGACGTGGGGCGCTTGAGGCTCCAGCTTCACGTCAAGCACGTGCCAGAGCCGGAAAGCCCAGATTGCCTTGCAGCGAAGAAAGGGGACATTTAACGGAGGGGTCCATGTGATGTGGAATCTGGGTAGAGATGTTGATGGATGAAAAAGGTTGAAAGCAAGCAAGCTAGCTAGCTAGCTAGCTAACTATATAACTATATAACTATCTAACCTTACCAGGAGATCCATGTGTTGGGGGTGATGAAATCAAGGGTAAGGGTTGCCCAGACCACCCCAACTCGGAGTTCAAAGACCACAACTCCATGGAACGTCCTGGGAACTCCGTCACGACCTGATGCACGGACGTCCCGGTCGAGTGGCTCACGTGAGCCACTCGTGGGTTGACGGCGGGGTTTGGATGGTTTTGGACATGACTGTTTGGCTGTAGTTTGTGCCTTCTTCTATATATGTCCTCACAGGTTCCCCCATCAAAAAGTGATGAAGTTCTTCATTGTAGACTAAAAAAGAACATCCTCCTTTTGCGTCAACCCAACTTCGAGTCCAGATAGAGTAGCTTCCACCCAGAACTCTGCCAACAAAGTGTAGACAGAGACTCTCCTGGTTTCAACGAATCCGTACCGTTCCACCGTCACCGTCCCGTTCCACCGGTACCGGCCCGTCCAGGATCCTGGCGCATTGGAACATCCCCGAGGCGAGGATCGGCAGACAGCGGGTTCACAGCGGAGTGCTTCAGACCAGTCTCAACACATATTACACAAGGTTTAAACGGAGTCTCAACAAATATTCAAATAAAACAGTGGTTCAGACGTGACGTTTTTATGACACATGGTTTAACAAATCTTTGACACAAGGAGTTCAGGAACAGGGTCGTATAAAACACCAGTCGTGGAACACACAAGGCATGGACTCGACAGATTCCAAGGACTTGGAGTGATGGCAGGGGAGCGATTTCGTTTCAGGTCGCTGCTTCGTTTCCGTCGCTGCGGAGCCGCGTTCGCATCAGTCAGCGACGAGTTTCGCTGGCGAGTGGTTTTCTGGACCGAAAGACCTATTTGTCAAGGGGAGAGTCCGATACAGTATATGGCCTGGGGCTTGTAACGGCTTGTCCCACTATGATCCGAATGAGTCAGTCGTCCCTATATTGGTTTTAGAGAACGGCCTGTACTAACCATAATCATTCACTGTTACTATACTTGCTGGCAATGGGATAGATATTGTTTTGTTTGTGATATATGTTGGAGGCGTTGGGGTACAAGATGGTACATGGAGGAGTGTTTGGGAGTATGACCTGATTCTCCAGCTTCTGCTACAGAGGTGATGCAACAAATTTGACACACTGTTGGACAACTTCCCATAAACCTGGAGAACCACGTCGGGTTTCCGCCACCTCTAGAATCTATAGAATCTGAGTGACCAATGCAGCCAAATCTGGTCCATTCCTACCAAAACAGTGGTCAGATGGGTTCCGTGGTATGAAATGATATGATATTCAATGTGGTTTACCCCACCTCCCAGGAAAGCCATGTGGAAGACTACTGTATATACCTCGTTCAAATGTGGGGGGTATTCCCTGATGAATGAATTCTTGGGACAATTTTGGACATTTTGGCAAGACGAGAGAAAGGTTTCTGCAGTACCTAATCCAAGCCTAGTTAGACGTCACATCGTTCAATTCGTTGTTGGAGTGGTAGTCCTTCGTCATCCAGCCCATGAGTGAAAAAAGGTTGAACGTTGACCAGACACTCCATGCATGGAACATACACCCCCGCAGACTGACATGGAAGGCCATTTTCCTCTACAACTCAGCGGTTTTGGGGGTCCATGTGAATTTGCATGAAATATAGGTCGATACTATACACTCACATTCACTACAACAAGGGCCACCGAACTGACCAGCTTTCTTCGTAGATGGCCGCACTCAGCGTGGTGGGCTGCTCCGTTTGCGGCGTGTGCTGTGCCAGGATCATATCTCCATGTTTTGGGCGCAGCTCCGGAAGCTGGAGCCGTGGTTTCGGAGTTGCTGTGGGATCGTTGCGTTGGGAGCAGACGTGCTGATGGGGAGAACACGTGCTTATGGGCAGACGCGTAGACGCCCGCTGGTGACATTTGGGGGCATTCGACGAGGCGGTGCAGGTGCTGGCAAGATGCTGTTTGTTGTCATCCTTTTCTTCCACAGTGTGTAAAGTGATCTACAATGATCTAAACATATCTAAACCATTTCAAAACCATTGGAGTCGTTCTCAAAATATGTTACCCTCATTGTATACGAGGGCGTTTCATCCAACACAGAGATAACTTGAATTGTCCTTTGATAATACGGGACAACCGAGAAGACTATATATACCCAGCACTTCCAACGGGTGCCCAGTCTGGAAATCTGTTTACGTAGCGGGTAGGGTGGTCTAGCCAGCACACCCATTGGATGATCCTGGTATAAGTAAATATATATATATATATATATGAAGTAGATCCTGGAATATGGGGATGATAATGCTGCGAAACCCTCCAAAAGGATACCTCCAAACGCTGCAAATCGGTACGGGACGTCCAAACGTTGAATAAATACAGCGCGTATATAACTTATTGTCATATATGATGTTGGAAAACAGCTCTTTTGCGAGGATTCTGTTTGCTGATGATGCCCCATGTCATGAAACAGTCTACTTCCTATAGGGCTGTTCTAAGATGGACGTCCTCCGGTCGATGGACACCCTCCAGCCGAGAGATCATGGATGTTTGCATCCGACAAATGCGCAGCGTCAAACATTGGTCACGAGAAGATCAGTGGCAGAGAATGAAAGCTGGTCCACAGATTCCGCAAATTTAGATTGATTTGGAGAAAACTCCCGATTTGGATTGTCAACCCTCTTCACTTCATATGGGGGCCCATTGGGGTTTGATTAATCAAGAGTTGAATGTGGTTGATTTATTCTTTGTGCGGCCATCGTCCACCGATACATATTCCAACCTGTTTATACATGTTGGACGTTTCCCTGAGTGACTTGCATCGAGTCCATCGATCTAGCATCATCTAGCGGTACTGTTTGTGGCAGACAACCATGTTTGAGCGTAGTTTCCACGAGATGCATGGCTGAACTTGCCATTGCAGATTTGCAATATGCAGAGAAGATCTAAGATCAGAATAGAATAAAGCAACAAGAACACGTTGTTGACAAAACAAGTTTCGACAAGCTTACAGAGGACCAGAGGGAATTTATGATTATATATTAATTAATATATTCAGAGTCGGTCTTCAATCCGAATCGGCAGATCTCCCCGTTCCAAGCACGCTCCTCGTTGCTGCAGGACGCCTACTTTGACGCCAAGGTGCGGGGCCTGTGGAGTGCTTCGACTTCCGTCGGATTTTGGAAGGGGGGGAGGGGGAGGTGCCTTTTTGGATTCCCCTTCAAGATCGAGCGAGGACACTTTAAGGGGGGCCGGTGTCCTCCAAATAGGCACAGGTGTTCTATGGTAGTTCGTTTTTTCCACCTTCTGCCCTCCCAGCGCCAGGCGTTACCGGAGTGGATTACCCGGAAGGATCTGGAGGCCGGCGTTGTCTCACATTCACAAGCCGAAGAAGGTTGCAAGAGGAAATTCCGGGAGATGGGAGTGAACTGGTTGACATGGAAGCAGATTTGGGGTGAGGGATGGATGAGTTTCATCTCAACCTCCAAGGTTATTACAGAAGTTCTGACCATGCATGCCTAGCCGGGCCTAGCCGCCTAGCCGAATACAGTTTTCCTAGGTAATCACCCCTAAGAATGAATCCCTAGGTTAAATGTGATAACCTGGCAAACACAGAACATCACAGAACCTTGAGAGAGTCTTGCCATTTGTGTTATTACAAACAGTGACGAGGTGTTCATCTCGACTGTGTTGGATATTAAGGATTCACCGGAGTTTTTACCTCGAACCTTCCAACTCGCTTATTAGTTATTCGCCAGGAACCAAGTGGTCAACGCCAATGGCGTAAGACTACGTACAGCGGGTACAGCCGGCCGCAACACCCCAGCCAGGCCCCTGCGTTCGGGCCATTTCGGGCCGAGAACATGTAGGAGCCTCCACAGGGCGCGGCCGACGCGACGGGCGCGGCTCCGAGATGGAAGATGCGAAGGCTGCGAAGGTGGCGCGACTGAAAGAGCTGCAAGCTGGACCCTTGAGCTACATCAAGGAGCTGGAACCCATGCGCATGGAATCCTGGATCTTGTTTGCAGCAGTTTGCCACATGTTTTTGAACTCCAAGCTCCATTAATCATTATTGTGTGTATTTTCTGTTTACATGTCAACAGACATGACATTGCCCCACCCAATTAAGTTGTATAAGCTATTGAACATCGTCACACCCTTTGTCAGCTGGAAGACACATATGAAATACAAACGAGTTCCAACAACTTGGGTTACATGAGTGGAGTGGGTGCAACAAAAGCTGGACCATCCGGCCCAGGGGTTTCCTGGCTGGAGATCCAACTATAGGCTGGCTAGCCCAGCCAGGAAACCCAAACAGGATGGTCCAGGCAGACATTTGTTTTGAGAAGTGTTTCTGTTGCCGATGCTGATGTTTTTCTCGCCTCCGCCCAGACATGGAGCGTTTTTCCAAAGCTGTACACTCCTAGCGGCCCAGTGCCACCACCCACCACGCCGCGGCCAACTTCGCCACCAGCCTGGTTGCGGGGCGCGGTTTTCTTCCAAGTTCCATGTGCCTGGGGCGTTGCAGCAGTAGTTTTGGTGCATTGTTTGGCTGTAACCATTACAGTCCGCATGGGGAGAACCCATTATATATATATATATATAGGATCTTGTTGCGGTTGACTGAATGACATCAATGATGCATGTACCATTCTAAAATATTCAAAACCTTTAAACAACATAAACATACATAAACATAACATACGTAATCTCCCTGGCTTAATTGGAATGCCTACTCCTCAAGGGCCCACTCAGAGTGGTCTAGGCACTGAGCCATCACAGGCACTGAGCCGCCTTCCAAGTACTCGCCTCCACCTCCGGTGGAGAAATCGCCTTCATCGGAGAAATCGCCGCCCACGCGCACGGAGCCGCCACAGCCACCGCGTGCGGAGCCGTTTGTGGAGACGAGTGCAGGCAGGCATGAGATGACCTGAGCTGTTCCGCCCAATGTTTTGTTTTTGGGCCAGACGGAGGGCATCAAAGGAAAGCTGTGGGTCAGAACCCAGACCTCATTTTTAATCCCTGGTAGGCTGACCTCCCTCCTAGTCCATTCTGTTCAGATTCGGTGCTCAACCAGGGTCACCCGGTTTTGACCCACAGCCATGTATATAGTTGATGAATGTTGATGAAGACAAACAACCATAAGTACAAAGATAGAGAGCAAATCATTTATGAAAATTCACCTAGCATTGCAACAAAGCAAAGACTGGAAATGGAAAGCCTTGCCCTTCTCAAATGACATTTGCAGCATGGCTGCGTCGCTTCCTATGTTTGTAAAATGTTGGAACATCTTTGAACATATACATGTCTATTTCTGTGGTTCTCTCTATCTTTTTTTCTTTTGTTCATGTGTATTCATTTGTTCTGATTGCCAACAGAGAGCGCGGCACATCAGGCAAATCTCCCCCGACGTGCTCGCCGAAGCCTCCACCGACGCCATGGGCACCATGGATACCGCAGCCCCAGGCGCCACGCACGCCCACTCCTAGTCCTAGAGGCTGCTTTGCATCCAATGCCACTGGGACTAATCATGACATGATCAGACATGATGGTTTGCTTTGGCAGATACCAAAAGGCATCACCAGTCCATGCATGTTTATATAACAGAGAGGGTTGAAGTTGACATCATAAAGTGCAAGAATTACAATTGTTGTAACTCGATCTGTTGGTTTAAGGGGCCCAAGGCACAATTCCTTTTATTATATCCTTTTATGATTATGTTCTTCGATATTTGTCAATAGTATACGTACAGGGAGATTGCCTCCAATGCTGAGTTGGATATCTCGAAGTGACTAAAACAGTTTGCCACTGGATAAACGTCCATACTGCCCCAACACTGCAGATAGCCAATGTTTTGTATGTGCGTCCCGTAGTTTCCCATTTAGCCAGAACCCAAACATCATCACAATGCATCACAAATTTTGGCATGCAGAACATTACAATACAATCCTGCACTAATCCTGCACTATCAATTGGAATCCCAGGTGTGGGGGTGTGTCCTAGGTTCAAGGGGGTTGTATATTGCATTGCATGTAGTATTGCAAGGACGCTACTAGGGGCTCCTGGCCGTACTACTAGGAGCCAGGACGCTACTAAGGGCTCTTGGCCGTACTACTAGGAGCAAGGACGCTACTAGGGGCTCCTGGCATCACTACTAGAAGCATTCTTACTACTAGTATTGCATGTTGCTCTACAACCGAGGTGAGACAGCAGGCCCACCCGCCGACAGCAGGCCCTGTGCCCGAGACACTCGACTCTGATGCGGAGAACCGCCGAACGCTGCAAAGGGAGGTTGAGCGGATCCTACATGCACGGGATGCGAAGAATTGGGCCATGCGAGTGCTATGCTTGGAGAATGGTTTCAGTGAACTCTCTTCAATTACAAGAAGTTGTTTTGTCCTTTCCCCAAAGGTGTGGACCATATATGGTTTATAAATATAGGGCACTCCCACTCCGTGTTTTTGGTCCAGTTGTTTGACCTGACAAGCTTGCGCCAGACTTCTTAATGTTTGAAATAGTTTATTCTTTCAAACAGGTGAAATGGAACTTTGGCAGGTGAAAGACACTTGGACAGGAAGAAGCGCGAGCTCTTTCGGCTGTTGCACCCGGACAAGAGCTCCCGCTTCGCTGATCAGCTGGGCCACCGGGGGGTGGAGGGCGTCGAAAGGATTCGACAGGCCTACAACCTGGTGGATGAGGCCTATGCAAAGGCCAAGGAGACGCTCAACTCGACAACCGTCTAAACAAAAAGGGCGATCGAGTCGAACACGATTCCGGATGGGCTCCACTTTTGCTACGCCAGCATGGTAACCGGTAGGCAAAGTGAGAAAGTTATTCTAGATTGGAAAGCGACTTGGAATGAATGAGCACCTTCAAGTTGTGTTTGTGCCAAGTGGACATTTAGGAATCTGTCTCCAAAGGGCCAAATAGCACGATTTTCCTCTTGGGTGATGGGGGTGGTTGGCGCTGATTGCGAGGTGAGGTGGCCAAGTAGCTGTCATGGGGTGTTCAATGAAGTCTTACCACCAACTTTGAGGCCTTCAAGCTTCACAAAATAGATCGTTCAATGATTACGGTACAGATACTTGCAGAGAGCCGTGCGGCCCTGCAAGTCAACGTGCCAAGTCAACAGGCACAAACAGACAAGCGCCAGGTATAGATTCATTGATCGTGGTCAGGAACATTGTGAGATGGGATGCGCTCAATGGGCACGTTCTTCCACCTGAATATATTATACCTCATTCGAGGATGTATGTTCATGAGTTCAATGAATCCAACCATCCAACGACACCTGTCCACCGACATCCCGATCCGATCGGTCCAGGAAGGGTTTTCCTCGCATCTCGCCATCACCCAGAGACCATCCACATCCACTTCTCATTCCGCATGGCATCCGGCATCAGGCAGTCTTCATCAAAGTGCTACGCCGTGTTCGGGACAAGTACTCCAACAGCAAGGTGTGGCGGCTTTCTCGGGCCCCATGGGTCGGGCTTCGCCTCGGATCTGGGGTGGAAAACACGTTCGTTTTTGGATAGGGTCAGGATAGAGTGATCCACGTGACTGACATGGGGATGCAGTTAGGACAGGCAGGACATACATGTGGCCTTGATGTGAAATTGGTGGGTCCATAATATTTCATATGCAGGTCAGAGGTCCACGTATTCTTACTTGAGAAAAGCTATATAGGCTATACCGGCTATACCCTGTCAGCAGTCTAGTGCTTTGCGCTTTTGCCACCCATCTGCAGCTAGGTCTTCCCGACTTCACCAGTATGTTGCGCATCCAGTTTGGGTGTGTTTTCCCTACTATGAGCGTTCGCTGGGTGCTGGACTTCATCCAAAGGACTCGTATCTCCACACTTGGAACCTCTCAAACACCATCGATCCACCGGTGACCATCGATGACCTGCCGGTGTTTTTCAGACAACACCGGACCAAGATACTAATGTCTCAAGCGTCGGATTCATTCAAATGTTTGCAGATTTCTGTGATGCGGCAGATGCATGTTGCCGCCTGTCTTTCTGGATGACCTAAAGGTGACCAAGGAGCAGTTCATCACGCAGAATTCCAAGAAGTTCTTGGAGGCGACACGCGGAAACACACTGCAACACAAAGGCATGTTTGTTGAGTTCATACGATGACCCAGTCTGGGAGCGTGCCATGGAAGGGAATGACGGGGACTTGTTAGACTTACATAGACTTACTGTTTTCTCCTGTACGACGCTGTGCTCGGTCCTGAAACCTTGAAACCGGTTGATTCGAAGAGGGGTCCTGACTCGGCAGTGCATCAGCAAGATTTGAACTTAATTGAACCTATCATGGTTTTTGTTTGCTACTGTTTCTTTTTTTGAAGTAGTTGCCAATTTGGATCCAATTATAGGCCGTCTTGGAAATACCAATTAACAAATTGGCACACATCTACTCGGGAGGGTTCCGCAATGCCGAATTCGACAATACAGATAGAATGCCGTTCCACCATGTAGCACCCACAAAAAGAGCGACCCTTCCAATAGATTAGATCAATCGATAGAATGCTGAATGGGGGCCTCGTATATGTGTTTGTTGATATGCGTTCATTGCTATTGTATAGCATTCTCCTCCTGAAACGGCATTGCATTACTTGAGTCACAAGGGGTGTCTCGAAGCAAGAATAAATACAAAAAACAAACGTATAGCACGTGTATATATACATATTAATATATAGCAGGTTGCTAGCTCAAAAAGTTACGCTGGTTGCTAGCTCCTGCAGGAGTATGTGATGTTGGACTCCTGCGGCAAGGCCCTCTTCGGAGTGTGCACTGAAGGTTTTAGAGGGACATGATGGGACAAGGGAACCGGGAGGAAGCCAGCAAGGTTCTCCGCACTTCGGGGGGACGAGGAAGCCAGCACGACACAGTTCGGTCGAACTGTGCCTCAGCTGGCTGTTCGTTGTTTCCTTTTTTCCATCAGGAAGATCATGATCTGGTGTTTCACTTGTGATGACTTGCTTGTATTTGGGGTACGTTGTAGGCCAGGCAGATGGTCGTATGCTCGCGGAATGTGAGTCCACAAGTTTCAGGGGTGTGCACTGATGACCCTCCTTCCCGATGTGGAAGATGGACCCCTGAATGATCTTGAAAGCAGAGTGCTTGGCTGACCTGTGCACTCTGTTCTGGAACACACCGTTGTACCACAAGCCATGCCATTGCACCGTCTCAGTTGCAGCATTCAAATAGCGATTTGTACATCTACCCCATGGTAAGCCCGAGGCATTGCTGCGTCGTGGTGTGTTGGTACGTTCGTTTTACTCCCCCTGGCCCGGCCTCAAAGACCCCATCCTCCGCTTGCAGCGCCTGCGCCGGTCCTCGTCGGTCACGCTGACCGACCTCGCCGTCGGTCACGCTGTTTGCAGGGCTCCTTCGGCGAGTGCTTCTGGGTGACGCACCGGATTTCCAAGATGCGACGCGTGTGCAAGAAGCTGCCCAAGGCCTCGAATCCACGGCGTTTCGATCGAAACAACGAGTCGAGACGGGTGTAGTTGATGTGTTCGACCCACAGTCGTAAAGTCAATGAACGGCGCAGGGCGCAGAGGATGGGGGGGATGGCTGGTTTGCAACTGAGGCTGCTCAAGAAGGTTCATCGGATTCACTGTCCGACCCGAGTGTTCTTTAGTTTGAACATGATCCGGTGGATCGTTGGCTGAAGTGCTCACCTCTATGAACTTAATCAGCCAAGATGATTTGAGTTTGCTTGGGTTGGGGGCCTATAATAGTATAAGGACATCTAATTTAAGTGCGATTGATCTAGAATCTAGAATCATCCAGAATCTAGATTTGCAATTTCAGCTTGAGTTGGACGACTGCATCGATTCATGTCTCGTAGCAACATGTGAAGAACATGGCCGGGGGTTGGGCTTCTCCAACCCTTGCTACCAGGAAGAGACCAATGTGCCCGCAGAAGAGGCTGAGCAAATACAGTATCGTTGGTTGGAACAGCCTGGAACAGCTCAAGGAGGGCTTTGACGGGGTTGTTGTGCGACAATGTGCACAAACTGGGAGGGTCCATTGTTTAAGACCTTTTCGTAGGCAATGCGCTCAGCAAGTTGTTTTCCATGTGCTCCCTCTTTGCTAAACTGGGTTCCTTTTCCAACACGAGACCGCTTTGCGCCCAACGATGGCCTCGAATCAGAGCGTCGTTTGGCCCGAACCGCTATGGAAACCACAGCGTCGACATGATGAAAGCAACCCGACATGATGTGTTCCTGCAAGGGTGTCCGGTTTCGGTGTGTGCTTTGCTGGACATACCAGACATGACTGCTTTTGCCCGCCTCTCCACATGACAGCGCGTCGTCTTGCCTTCGGAAGCAGTTATTCCCATTGGCGCTCTCCACCGGAGGTAACAGTTCCACCGGACCGTGTCAGATCTGGTCGGGACGCTTCACATGAACTCTCGACCGGTTTGGATCAAAAACGGTCCAGTTCCGTGGGTGAACGGATCCAGCGCAGGTGCAGATGGAGCTGGAGATCTTGAAGAAGTTGGATCATCCCAATGTGCTTTGGCGGAAGAGACGTGCTGGTGAAGCTGTTTCGAGGATGTTATTTGGATTTATTTGGTAGTTTGTGATCCTTGGAATCTGGTAGATCCAGAGAGTCAAATGCCACGAGGATAATATACCCGATGCATGACACCACAGCCACAGCAATCCATGTGCACATGAGAGGTGTAGCTTCCAGATATATATAGGGTATACGGCATACGGATGTACATGGGTTCGCTATGGTTTGCTACTGTGGTGCGGATGTCTTTGGCCTTCTTGTTCACACAAAAGGGTCGAGACCCCTCTTGAGAAAAGCCCGGGCGAAAAACACCGGGGACATCCAGTCAGTGAATCTACAGGGATTTTTGGTGAGTTAAACGACTCAATGGTTCACAATGACTCAATGCATCTCTTTACCGATTCTCAGAGCCAATAAGATATCATTAAAGATCTTCAACGCCAACTAGAATGTCCTCCATCCAGTCAAGGAACATTGACGGTGCCTCGACAGAGGTATACGTAATATGTTATGCATGTGCTTTTGTTTCCTTGCAAGACGTTATACCCCTTTATCAAACTTTATTTTGGGGGTATTGCGCCGTCAAGCGGAGTTGGCGAGGTTCCACAGTTTGCGGATAGCTTGCTCAATGTTTTATGATTTGTTTACGTCACAGACAGATCCGACACTTCCTTGGTTTGAGAATGTTTGAGGCGTGGCCCAGAATGGGCATATTGAAAATTATTGCTGAACTTGTTTGGAATCCTGTTTCATGAAGCCACAACACGGGTAGTACCATGCTTCTGAATCTGTACTTCTATCAATTCAAGGGTAGAAACACTGTTGATCTGTTTTGTGTTTTCCCAATTATTGCCATGTCCAGAGCTTCAACCAACACTGGATTCGACGTTGGGTCAACGAGCCCAAGGGCTCCGCCGGCAGAACGGAACGCCCAGGTCCTTCGATGCTTCGAATGGTTCGAGGAGGAAGCGAGCTTCCTGTTGGTGCTGGAGGCAGGATAAGCTTGAGGTGACTCAACAATGGATCTGTTCGCAGGAACCTCCAAACAGGCTGCAGAGGCGTGTTTGTTCTTTACTTGCTCCAAACAGTCCATGAGAGAACGATAGAATATGTGATGGATGCTTTCTCCTGCAATCTCAACATATCTCAACACAAGTCTTCAAAATGTTTCTGGCGCCGTTCGTCAAAGCCGACCATTTGCTTCGACCGGTCAATCGTCAAAATCGGGACCCAACGAATCCGTTCTGGTGCCAGCCACTTCGCCAGGCAGCAGAGGGGGGAGACCTCAGGAAGCTCCTCACCAAGCAGCGTCAGGAGCGAGGTGAGTGGTGGTTTGGCGAATGAATCACCTTGCGATGATGACAGATGTTAGCTTGGTACAGGTATGTAAAGGTGAAACAAATAACAATCACATGTACCATTCATGATGATGAGCATTGATTCAACTTTGGGTTGTCTTGCTTGGGTGTTTGTGCTCTTATTCCATCTTATTCCCACGCCTGGTTACACCACTATTATCCACTATTCAATATATTTATATAACTTTATAAATTACACATTATATATAAACTACACATTATATATAATACATATGTAATAATACGTTACGGGTGTGTATCACCTGACAGCAGGTTTGTTGCTGGTTCTAGTTTGTGTGTGTGTCCTCACACCAGCAAGCTGTCTGGTTGAGTAGCTCACTATAGCTCAGCAGGGCATGACTTGCCTTGTTCTGAGCCTGAAAGATGCTGACCTCAAATGTTGAGGAACTACTTAGCTACTTGGGGCAGGCTGAAAATTGGGCTGAATCCAATGGAGTATGCGATACTTGGACCGGTCTTGCAATGGTTTCCGCAGCTTCTTGCTCCAGGAGCACTTAGAAGATAAAGAGGCGGGCCTTGCAGCACCTGGGTCGGCCAACGGGGCTCGGAGAAGATGTAGGTTGCTTGCAGGCCGATGGGGGTTCATTTGCAGAGTGTCATTTGATGTTTGCCTACCAGGAACAAGCTCTCCAAAATCATTAGAAGACAATATGCGGGTGCTCCATGCACACAATAATAATAGTAATATACAATATGTCTTGACAGCCTTCAACAACGAAGAAGGATCTTAGACTGCTGAGAACCTTCCGCTTTTTCGCTTCGACTTGCGGTTTCCACCGCTTCGTTCGCTTCTTTCGTTCGCTTCAGCAAGATCAGGCCCACCCCGAGCCTGGGCTCGGAGAACCGTTGACAAGGACCTTGCTGGAACAGGCGGCTTAGATCGGGGGTCATTTTGCGCCCAACATCCAGGTCACCTGGAACCAGAGATCCAGAGATATGACAGGTTGTTTTGTGGGTTTTGCACTCTGAGGCTTCAAGCAAATAATTGTACATGTGTTTTTGTTTGTCATGCACTCATGAGTAGGTGAGAAAATCCAAGGATATCCAAGATGTCCGTATATAGTGTTTACTACAATATGTCTACTGTATGTTTGCATGTGAAACGCTCCATCCTTAAGGACAATTTCAAGACAACTATTTTGAAGTCTCAGTCACTGTTAATCTACTTGAACAAATAGTTCGGTGCGAGACAAGGTCAGCTATCGACGATGCAGCGACTCACTTTGCAAACAGATTGCTCACGCATGACAACTGCTTTGTTTTGCATACGTTCAGTTGATTTAGATGACCACGAGCTTCATCCAACAACTGCCTTGGTTTCTTCGCATGAGACGTTATGCAACGCTGCTGGCAACGCCCCAGGCGTTGCAGGGATTGGCATGCTGCCACGCACTGTGGGGAACCGCCCAGATATGTCGCTGTTCTGGTCGATGCTTGTAAGGATCGTTGTGGATCCGCCCATCGACACGGATTTTAGAGAAACACATATAAGCACATGATGCTTTAAGGAACCTGCTAGTTCAAAAAGCTTCGAGTCTTTACAACCAATGCTGACCTGTATTCAGATCCTCTAAACCCACATAACCCCACCCGCTAAACACCTTCTCAAAGGTTAGAACGGTTAGTTGGAGACCTACTTATAGAAGACCTTGTCCATTCTCCTGAGAATTATCGCTTGGGCTGTGGACAGTGAGACAGGACGACGTTCTTGCTGCGAGTCAATGGAGGGTTGGAGCCCGATGTGTTGAGGACGATGTTGGAGCCTCCTTCACCTCTTCTCGTCTTCGATTCATGATCTGAGGAATATAATGCACCGGGACATAAAGCCGGCCAACATGCTCCTCGCCAGCGCCTGGACCCCAACAGTTGCAGCGGAAACAGAGGGGTTGGGTCAAGAGGTGCTTGTTCAATGGTCTGGGTTTCTAGTGAATCGTTGAGACCCCCCGAAAGCTTGGGTTGGTTATCCAACATCTCTCAGCAGCATAGACTGGGACGATAGAAAGGCGTTCTTTTCTTGGCAGATCTATGCAGATCTGACTGAGAGCTGAGTTCCGGGCACCGGAAAACCCTTCCACCTGGGTGACGGGTGTGTACAGGGTGTGTCCTTGATTTTTTGCTGTAGGTGAAACAATCGTTGAAAGTCAGAAGTTCTGAACATGTCAAATCCGGATTGTCAGATTCTATTGGAATTGCTTCGATAATTGGGTCATCGTGTCCTTCGAGAGAAGGACCATGTGTCATCATCCTTTGGGCAACTGGACAGAGACATGATATAGTATATATAGTTGTATAATATATGTGCATAATAGATGTGTGAATTTACGCCATAAACCATGCACCCCTGGGTTGGTTTTGGAGATTCTAGAGAGGAACACAAATAATCATGGTTCTCTAAAGTGAGGGTGGTCATTTAGAAACCACTGTTTTGGGGCAAAATGAACCCTGGGTGCATGCATTTTATAGCGGAGTGGTAATTGATGATTGCTCTTGTACTATCTTATACTTATACTTATGCTGTTACTCGAATATTTTAGCCCTGGGTCCTGGGTAGCTTGATTTTCCCTTTGAATGTCCACGGATGATACCCTTTGAGAGGGTGATGGATACACTTTCATATAGGCTCGGAGGGTCGGAATCCTAAGTACCCTCTGAGCAGGCCATGTACGTCCCTACCAATCTTGGGATGGCGCCACGCTCCGTTCACAGCCCGACCGGTCATGGGCTACGTGGGTCTCAGGCCGATCTCCAGCGGCCACGTGGGGAAGCCTGGTGTAGATCGCCGGACCAGCTTGGCAGGAGTGGGAGTTCCATCAATTTCTTTGATTACTACTAATATATATTATGATAGTCTTCTTTTCGCAGCTTCTTTGGGGGTAAACCTTCACACTGGGTAAACTCATGATCTTTCGGGGTCTTTGTGTAAACTGATGGTGATTGTTGTGGATCCAGTTGGAAGAACCTCATCTATCAGCGATCGTTGGCCGTCTTCGGAACCAGATCCTTCTCGTTTTTGGTGACAGGCGTTTCGCTGCAAAGCTTTGCTGTGCCCCTTCAGACGTTTTTCATGAAACGTCAGGGATTGAAGCGCAGCTGTTTGGTTCGTTCGAACACAGAGAAAAGGAGTAGACGGGATGGACAAAAGGTTATAGTGGTCTACTATCCCGGGATGGCATGGCATGGGCTGTCGGTCACGAAGACGTGAACGGTCACCCTGACGTGTCTCGGGATTCGGACTCAAACTGGGCGACCAAACGGGAGACTCCAAACGAAGATGAAGTTGCGACCATGGAGGACATGAGACAACTACATGGTCCTGGTTCTGCCTGGGACTACAAACACATGGATGTCACAGAATACATGAACCGTCAACGAGAAACTTATAGCTTGGAAATAAGACGAGGGCAAGGTGAATTGGATTAGCTTGAGAAGCTGAGGAGAACAGGTTTTGAATGCTTCCCTCCAGGCCATCAGCACCTGTCGGTACCTCTGCCATGACCTTTGACATTCAGAGCCAAAAACTATGCAGCGCGGTCCTTTGTGGTGATTTGTTTTAAAGTCGTGATCAACAAAGCTGCCTTCAAGGATGAGACAAAGGCATCAGAGCCTGCTGTGAAAGGCTCTCATGATGAGAAGATAGACTATTGGCAGCTGCAGGTCAACGACAGACTGAGGCTAAGCTTACAAAAGCATACTCATGAGCCTTACGAGATTCACTCCGCACCAACAAGATTGACTCTCTCAGTGCATCTAACAACGTCCAATTGAACACAGCTGCCATGTAGCGGCTGCTTTCAAGTGGATGTTGTTAGACACATCTCTAGCTGAGTGTCCTTGCTACAGTGATCACAAATATGTTTTGGTTTGAATTGCACTTGTTTGTTTTCATGACGCTTTGCTTGGCGCCCTACATACAAATGTCCTTCTGAAATGCTTGACCAATTCCGGGTGTTTTTGGCGAAACTGTGGGCCTCATATGCGCCCCGTTTTACTTTGGATCCTGACCGCGACTGGGAGCATGTTGATTTTGCTGAAAAGATAATGCCTGACGCTTTGCGTTTGTTTGTTAAAGCGAGACGTGCGCACGAATGTGATCGCAGTCCAATGTTTTTGACTGGAATGCGATGCTTTGCTGAACGAATCATCCGTCTCTAGTGAATCCGGATGAATACGCCCTGGGCTCTAGACCGCCCCAGGCCCACTGAACAGCTCCAAGAAAGATCTCCGAAACAAACCTCGGCTGACCGTATCTTGGCACCAAGACCTTCTCTTGGCCGACTTTGGCGTGGCAGAGATCTTCCAGGAGCGTGCTTCGGGTGGTGGTTGAGCAGCATAGACTAGGGGAACAGAGTGGAGTGCCCCAAGCTGGTGCAATCTCGCTACTAGCAACAAGGGCATCGCTACTAGTAACAAGAAGCTACTAATAGCAAAGGGAATTATTATTAGTAGCAAGAAGCTGGGAGCTCAAGAGCTGGGACCATCCAAAACCCGGGATCGCTGAGGAGATGCAGGGAGTCCGCCCAACTGCTTACGGATGCTTACGATATTAGTAATTTGAGTTCCAATGTCTTTTTGATTTGAACCTTTGGGTGCAAGGGAAGGAGGTTCACCGAATGTCCCTCCGAGCCCCTTTTCGACCAAGCTTTTGAACAATAAAGTGGTGAGGACTGTAGTTGTGAGGACTTTGTCTCAAGAGTTTTGATCTGAGATTGCATGGTCAACGTCAAAACTCTTCCATGGTGCTTGCCAAGCTGTTGCAACATGTACAACTCCATCAACATGTTTTCTACATAGTTTCTGGGAAGTATGGGACCCTAAATATGTTAGGAGATTCATGTGCCAAGGCAATCAAAGGCCTATCAACAGTGACCCGTGTCAATAACATGATCATACAATATCATACATGATCTATCTACAACCTAGCAAACGCTCCCTACATTGACCTCTGAAACTACCACTTAAGGATCCTTACAACACGTAGCCGAGGTGTTTGGGACATTTCCCAGAGGTTCACAGATTTGGTTTGGTCCTCGCAGAAACTGGGCAATATGGAAGACCAAACATGTGAAAACCTGAGATTTTCCGGTGGGACCTGTGTGCTGAACATTGGAATATATATGTCCTGGCCGTGTTTCTTCACTGTGTCAATCGTCCGTGGCGTTTGGGAGGCCCGGCCAAGCCACCGATGTTCCCTATGTTCCATCCATTGGACGGGACTCTCAATGCCCTTCCATTCATGAGGTCCTAGCGTATGGAATTTCTCAGTTTGTTCTGCCCCTTTGCATGCACCCTCCGTGTGAACGCAGGAGCAGGTCTCCTTCAACGGCTTGGTCCGGGGCACGTTCGCGCACGGAGCGCCCAGCGGTCGACACGACGAGTTCTCGCTCGGTCGACAGTGTTCTCGTGCGGAAAAGCCAAGATGCTGATGTCCTGGTTGGTGAGGAAGGTTCCTTTTGACTGATTTTGGTGTTTTTTTCACTTTGGCCGGTCAAGGTATCTGAAGAACTGCAGATGGCAAAAGACCAGTTAATGTTGGATCCTGATTAGTAAAGGGGGGTCCCCCCCTCCCTCAAACAAATAGGGGACCCTCTATAATGAACTACCACCAAAACAAATCTGGATTCCTGTGAGGATTCCTTTTTGTAATTGATTGGAGTATTCATCGTTTTTTCATAGATTGTATATCAGCTAATGATTCATAATCATTTGGCCTCAGGAGCTAAGTAAAGGAAGATTCCATGAACAGTATTCTTTTTTTCCAGTGACTCCAGTGGAAAAAACTGTTCACAATTGAGAACCCCTAAAACAAATCTATTATTGATGATCAGGTGCCTTCCTGGTCTAGTACCTTGAAAATTTGTTTAGGAGCAATGTTTTATACAGGGTTTAATTAGGAATTGGTGGTTTTGGAAAGCTGTCAGTTTTGAAGAAACCTAGAGAAACCTATATCAGCTAATGAATCATAATCATTGGCCTCAGAAGGAATTCAATCCCTCATTAATTAGGTGTCCAATATAAAGACATTAGGGTCCCCCCCCAAAATAGCATTGTTCAGGACCACTTTTTCAATCATGGGGTCTGGAATAATTTTGGAAAAAGAACTAGCATTATTGAAGACCGGTTTACTAATCAACATCCAACATTAAGCATAAACAGGCGGGTTGCCCAGCAAACTTGGATTTTGGAAGGTGCAGGAAAATATATATGTGGTTTACCGGGCCAGCAGATGCTGTGGAGATATCATGAAGCTAGTGATCTATTTGGGCATCCGCACAAGTGGCAAGACGACCCAATAGCCCTGACCTACAATGGTTGTTGATGCATGAGCTGAGACATGTACATTTTGCATTGGTGCTTGCTTAGCCTCAATGTAGGACCCTCCCTCAGTATCTCACCAAAATCCAAGTGTTCAACACCTATGTCCTATAACTATCCATAGATATCCAATGTTATGCATAAGTAATTAGAAAGTCAGTGAACGTGATACAAATGATTTTCACCACAGACCTTGTTAAGTTACCGTAACAGAGTGATTATGTGGCTCTCATCCGCCAAGGACGAGTGCTCATTCCGTCGCAGGTACATGGCACCCGAAGTGCTCGAGAACAAGGCGTGCTCTGCTTCGGATGCCCGGGAGCCAAGCGAGGGACCAAGCGGCCGCCACGCGCTCACTGTTCGCCCGGCGGACCGTTGTACCGGGCCAAAAGGGGTTGTACGTCGTACGTGACCACCTCGGGTAACGTACGTGCCATGCACGTACGCACCAGATGCATAGCAAACCGCATGCTCGCAGTCACTGGTGAACATCCGGAGCCTTGCCCCCCAACAAAAACAATGACCAAGGGTATAATCTCAAGATCTCAGAAGTATGCTGTAATCTAATTCTAAACTTAGGTCAGAATGGCTTGGCCGGTTTCATCAAAGGTCTACATACTACATACGCTCCTGCCGTGACACCCAAAACAGCACGTCTCGCCGGCCGGCGTCAGAACCGAGGTTTGGGCCATGGGTGTGGTCGCCTACGAGCTGATCTCGGGGGTTACTCGGAGCTTGCCTTTTCATGACATTGCTTGGTGTGGATGGCTTTGTAGGATGAATTGTAGGGTCTAAATTAGGAGGTCTATTGAGAGGCACAATAGTTGAGGTTTTTTGGGACATTCCCATGAGACAAGATTCCATACTGCATCATACTGCCCAGTGAGTGAATCTGTGGGAAGATTCATTCCAACGCAGGGTCCTTTGATGTTCAGTCAGGTAGGTCCTCATCGGTCTGTGGACTCCCTTGTCTACCTACCAGTCGACACACAACACCCAGGGGACCTGTGGAAAAGGGCCCGAGCTTTCTTCCGAAAGGATGGAGGAACAACAGAAGCAAACAGCAATACTGAAAAAGCAAACTGGGTCACACAACGTGGTCATGTAAGAACACACCCTTTTCTCTCGGAGGTACAGAAAACAAGTGAGTGTCATAATATGTTTGAGGATGGCAGATGATGAGATTCATTGTTAGCTAGCTGACTAGATTAGGCACAAACGTCCACGCGATGATAGTATGTTTTGTGGCAATTTATTCTTCAAAGTGTCCTTTTCACATTTTGTTCACGTTTTTCTAGGTGACCCTTTAGAAGCTTGAGTAATGCAAATCTGGGATCTCGAATTTCTTTGAAGAACTATGTTCTCTAGCAACTCTGGTTTAACATAAGGAACATTTTAGGGGCCCAACGGGTTGGTTGTGTTTGGTGGAGCATGGATCACCCAACGGAGGACACCAGACCTTTTTTTACACTTCTTAAGCCATTGGACGAGCCAGTAGCCTGGAGGACGCCCAAGTGAAAACAAAGTAACGATTTGAAGCCGTTGCCATCTAGACTGACATGGATGGTCGGCATGATGACCGAGACTGCCTGGGAATAGCATCAAAAACCAAAGGCCAAGCAGTCTCAAAGAACTCACAGAGAAAAGTGTTCCTTTACTTTTTCTCGCTGTGCAGAAACAACACAATATATATATATATATACCCTAGGGATCCAAGTACCTTCTCAGAAGGTGATTGGAGACACTCTTATGTAGGTTTTGAGGGTCCAAGTACCTTCTGAGAAGGTACTTGGATCCCTAGGGATATATATATATATTATACACGCCATATTTTGGGACCTCCAGCGAACGCAGCTACAGAACGCAAAGGACAGAACTGAGGACCTTTAAACCAACCTTGTGGCCATGAACGAAGGAAACCACATCTAGTTCCGCATCCTGGACACACAGAAAGATGTGGATGGGAGCTGCGACCCTCTCAGGAACGTCCCTTTGTGGCCGATGCTCCCCTCGCCATGTGCCTCGAAAGCCTCGAAACGGGGAGGCTATAGGTGAAGCATCCGTATCCGGTTGAAAGCAACACTGACATTCCTGCCAATTCTTGCATATAAATTCAACTCATAGACTGTTATAGATATCAATGTGTCTATTTTAGGCTGTCGACTTCGCATTATGTTGGTTCATTATAGTTCATGAGACCTCAAACATACAGGAGAAAGTTACTAAGGTACTAAGGCTTGATTGGTTTAAGGTTCATGTGGCTCTTTGCTGGTCGCATGCATGCGCGGTATAAAAATAATATCCCCCGCGGTATAAAAATGAGTAATGAAATGGTCTAGGGACAGTACATGTCATAAAAAAGGTTAGTTAGTTTGGAAACTAGAACATAAATCTACACAGTATCAGTATCATTTCATAGAAGCATCAACTGGGGAAAAGAGGATTGCTGCTATGACCATGCCAGAGGTTTTGACAAGCAATTGTTTGAATCTCGAGGAGTGGAGACCAGTCTGGTCCAGTGGAAGTTCTGATAACTAATGTTATAAATACAGTTTGCTGGAAGTGATATTCTGGTATCAATTCAAGGCAAAGCATTTTTATAGATCCAAGCCGTGATTTGTAGCTTTTTTTGTTTTGACAGGCCTGGATAGGGCTATGCATTTTATAGAAAGGACAGCTGTTCATGTTATAGAGAATAATAATCCCCACAGTATTTCATAGCGGCAGCGTTTGTTTTCTATAAAATGAGATCCTGCCAGGCCTTACCACCAGACAAGGGGGATTAAATAGTAAACTATAATATATCATATATTGCCATATGGGATACACATTGTATAAACGTGTTTAATCATCAATATAAGAAACAACTAACAAACCAATTGTATAATGACCTGTGTAGACCTTGAATAGCTGAAGGTGCCTTTCAATATAAGGAACGAATCAGAACAGTCTAGGCATCATGACACCAAGAAGAACCTATGAACATGTTTTGTGTGCCAACCCCAACCAAAGCTCTCCAAAGCTTCCTAGTCAAGCCAGGGGATCCTATGTGGAGTCCGTCGAACGAATTGGCTCCGAAGGTACGCAGCGCTACGGAATCAGGAGCTGAACATGGAACCTGCCCGGCACCCCAGCGGGGTCCAAACTGCTGCACACTGCTGCGAAATTCATCGCACCCGGGGTCCTGCCCTTCGGTTTTGTTTGTATGTGTTTTCAGTTTTGGAGCCTTGTTTCGGGTATGGTATGCGCAGTTCAAGGGTATCAGTTTTCCACGAAACAAGATGGGATGTAGGAGATATCAGGCGATGGGGTGCAGGGTTTCCCACCCTCAAAATGCTGCCTTGTGTCCTTGTCAACTGGTGCTTCAGTGGCAGCTAGTTGCAGTGAGATCTTCTGCTCCTTGACACCCAAGTCGTTACGTTGTCGCTAGGTCAGATTAAAATTCAAATGTAGTGCGGTATGCTTGCCAGGATCCCCCCTCATATCTTAAATCTTAATGTTTAATTTGTGTTTTTTGCCAGCTTTGCTGGCAAATGTTCTCGTTCATTTGCGTTCTACACTCACCGACACTGAAAGCGTATCACCCAGACAAAGCGAAAACAGCTACTGTTGCATGAAACCTGCATGGCTGCACTACTTCCGGCGAATGACCACAGGTAGATGAACAGAATTCACGAATGGCAGGGAAAGGCAAATTGGTTTTGGAAGAGTTTGTTTTGATCCACATCAATTTGACCACATCAATGAACTGTCAAGATGAAATCGTTTTTTCCACGAATTGTTTTTGATCCGCATGACTCGTCAAATTATCATAGTTCATGACGCGTATCATACTCACAATCACTCCCAGACCAATGCAACGGAGACTCAGTGTATGTTGTTAACCACTAGCAGTCTCACCCACATGCGGTCGTGCACGTGAAGATGCCCACATGCAGATCATGCAGTGCTGTTGGGAAGCCAAAAATGCGTCATCACAAGCTACATGTCATTGAGATGGACATGGAAAAATGATCGATTGACTTGAAATAAACTATATAAATTATAGAAATGTATACCAACTATAACTGATTATGTCCATTTTTATACATATCCCTAAACTTTTTGAGTATAACTGAGGGAAGTTGGTTTCGCGCAAGCTCGAGACCAGGGTGGAACGGGGGGAAGGCCAAAATCCTGCGAGTACACGAGGTTCGCCGTGCAGAGGCCTCGCCACAATGCGTCGGGGGGCCGAAGGGACCAAAAAGGGACCAAAGACAAGGGAAAAGGAGAAACAGATGATGAGGAGATGTTTTGTTGGACATGGGGAAAGCATGCTTTCTCCCCTTATCTTTGTGCTCATGTTTGTGCTTCCAAGGTTGCCGCAGCGCGTTTTTTCTTTTTTTTTTTTTATCTGGCTGGTTCATAGAAGCACCTGCAGAAGCACCAAAGTGTAGAGGCATCCGAACGTCTTGGCTTATAGGCTGGAACCTGGCAACGCATTCCATCCAGTGATTCAGCCAAAGTTCAAGTGAATCCAAAAGGAAGAAACATGGAGAAGCCATTGATTTTAGCTGTAGGACATATGACCTGTGAATAGTGAGCTGGATGTTCGCTGTCGGATTTCCTGGTCGGATAGGAACAGAGATCAGATGTGTGGAGCAGAAACATGCCCAGCTTGGTCTGATGTCTTAAGCATTGAATAATTATATATATATAACTAGTATACATGTATTGATTTGTATTGATCGTACGCTCTGAACAACTCGCCTGGCTCAAGCGGCGGACCGAGCGGAGCGGCACGACTGAAGCGGTGAAGACATGAAACTGCGCTTGATGAAACTGCGCCAGAACAGGGCGATACAGTCATCTAGGAGTCCACGGTGTTCTGGAAGGAACAAAGGTAGGCCGCATGCAAGATGCAATTTTGCGGCATGCCTTGCACATTGCATCGCCTTTCGAGTCTTTCAACTACGGAAATATTGTAATTAGAAGAGCGGCTCAGGGTCTAGACTTTTTTAAGTGAAAGGCCCACAGTAGCTGTCGAAGAAAGAGGCCTTGCCATCTAACCTTTGAGAGAAAGCACCGGTATACAAATCAGGCCATCAGGTCAAAGGTTGCACGAATTCGTTCTGGGAACGCGGACAATTCGCGGCCACATTGGCTGGGGGCCCCGGATGTCCAGATTCTGAATCGCTGAGCAGCTCCACTGAGCACGACTGAGCAAATCCACATTCTGTTCTTTTGATGTTTGGGCTTTTGAGCCCTTTGAAGGCGGATGGAAGCGTCAAGATGTGTCAAGGGACAGTTGGGCAAGTACCAAGCTTCACCACATCCACTGCTGGAGAATGTGGGTTGAAGGAAGGTGGTGATTTTTGAACTTGAGACCACCTTGTCATTGATATGTGTTCTTCGTGGTATCAGAGAGGTGGCCTGCTGAGAGTCAGGGCCTATTGCCCATGCCATCCAAGGCAGGGTATGTTAAAAAACATGGGGACCCTGGTCGACCACCGCAACGAGTGTACCGGAGTGGTTGGTATGCAAGTCCAAGTCCAAGAAAGTAGTAATGTTATGTTTTTACGGTCCACATCCCCTTAACTGCAGGGCCTGTCCGCGGTCTACGCAGCCACTAGACTAGACCATGACTAACATGCACCCTTTTCCTGGGTGACCACCGAAATAAACAGAGTCGATTGCCAGACATGGTCAACCTACTAGGGTCAATGGAACTGCCAGATTTCTTTGCCACATTACCATGAAGGACCTGTGAAGGATGCACAGATAGGTAGGACCTTAGGCGGGCGTCAAAACCCATCGCCAAGTCTTTGCTGAGGTTTGTGTGGCGCATTGCAAAGACAATGGGGTGCGCCCGTTTCTTTTTTCTTGGTGCTGCAGCTAGCCTGTTGGTTTTGTTGTGGTCAGGGTTGGTGGTGTTGGGTGTGTTCGGTGTCTTGCTGTTACAGTGCTTGTTCATGTGGCTGCTGCTACCATAGTGTTCTTGTGGTGTGATTGTGGTTGTTGTTGTTGTTGTTGTTGTTGGTGGTGGTGGTGGTGGTCTACGTTCAGTGTTGCAAGTTGCTTTGTTGGTGTCTCGCGTTGCCTGTTGCCTGTCGCAGTTGCTTGCCGCTGTTCCATCCTGTTCTTTTTTTACATCCTTTGTTTGTTCTTTTGCCGCTGGTGGTCTTGTCGTTGTGCCATGTTTGTTTCGTGTTTGTTGTGTTGCTGTCGTTTGTGCTGTTGGTTCAGTCTGATTTGTGTTTGTGCTGCTTTGTTGGCCCTAGAGATAGTAGTGGACAGGCACTCGGAAAGGCATCGGATTGAGTGTCATCAGACAGACGATGGATTCATTTTGGACAAAGGAACTATACATGCAACAGGAACAATCTGTCCTTTTAAAATCCCGTTTTTTCAATTAGAGGACGTATACCGACTTAGTCCTCAAACCGGTGTCCTGTGTGACATCCACTTCACCGCAAGGGATCCGGTGCCAGGCAAGCTGCGGGACATGAGCATGGCCTTGATAGTGGGGGGCCTCGAGAAAACCCGCGGGACCGGCAGTCTCCAATCACCTTCCCAAACCGAAGGTACGACTGGACCCGACAATGGCACCTACATAACCGTGTCTCCAATATTATCCAATCAACTTCTGAGAAGGTATTTGGATCCATATATATATATATATATAGTTGTTTATTTTTTTCATACCCCACGCTCAGGGTAAGCCCTAGGTTGTTACATGTCGTTTACCGAATGTGGCCAGTTTTGTGGCCTATGTGGGCGGCATGGAGTGAAACATCACGACACAAGCAGTCGCAGTCATATCGACGCATCTCACGAGCCACATGGTGTCTTTCAGTCGTTGGAGTTTGGTAAAGGTCCCCAGTAGCATGGTCAAGCGAGGGACAACAAGTGGGCAAGCATGGGCGACCCTCAAGTTTTTCTTTGAGACCAGGTTGATTGGAAAGACACGGGGTTTAGGAGAGACTATAGACTTCACAGCTGTCTACATTTTGTATAGACAAAATGTCCTTGGCAGAAGGCGTAAGGATCGAAGATTTCAAACTAGATACTCTTGCATGCCCTCGCCAGACAAACTGCCACCTCCTGAACAGAGAATCCTATATGCTTGGGCCTTCACCTTTTGATTGAAAGCTATTCCAAAAACAGTCATTTTAGATCATTTTAGCATATTTTAGCCACGTATGAAGTTCAAAAAAACACTTTTCTTCCTGATCAAATACTTTTGATGTCGCTCTTCATGTCATCCAAAGAAAAACTTGGTCACGTCATGTCACGTCTTCGTGTCTTCGGTCGTTCCGGTCCTCCGCGGAGACCCGCTGCCCAGATGTCATCAAGAGGGCTGCGAGCCGAGCCGGGAAGTTTACCATCAGCCGGGGGCGCCCGGTGACGGAGCCGGGCTACAAAGCCAAAAAGGGAGCCGGTGTCCTAGCAGACTCCACAGAAGGCTCGGATGAAGCTTTGAAGGACTGAAGCCTTTTGGGGCCTAGCAGGGGTGAAGCTTGGTGGAGCAAGCTTCACGCGCCCCACAAACCCCACATCAAGTTGTTTTCTTTGCAAGCGAGTTGCCCCTGAAAACCTAGAGGAGCATTGATCCTCTTCCGGCAGAGCAGGAACATGTTAGACGAATTGTTTGTGTTTTTGGCTCTCACTTGACAAGTATTTCCAGTATTGCTTGCGTGAGCCTGGAACACTTGGAAACACTGCCGTGGCTTTGCAGTAAAACGGGTCTATGATCTATAGAATTCTATATACCAGTCTAAATGATTGGAGGTGGCAACCTATCAATCAGGGATGTCCACCAAGAGTTGTGTTTTTTTGCTTGTTGAACTTGTGGCATTTGATGTTTGTTTCTTTGGACTCCAAAATAAGGGAGGAGTCGACTATAGATGATTCTTCCTGTTTTTGATCCTACTTGGTGTCGGAATCCCCAACCTTTGCAGAATGAGCCTGTGAGATGTAGCGGCCCCTGATCCGGTCATTTGGAGATTGACCCATGGGCCACCATGGTTACAGCAGCGGCCGGTGGCCGCTGTCGCCGATCGGCTCAGGGGTGTCGAGACGAGGAAAAGCCGACAAACGTCTCGGGGTTCGAGGTGGGCGCTACCATCGGATGCCGCGGAAGATTGAGGCGACCAGAAACGCATACAGTTTGGGGTTGGATGGGTTTTGGAGGGGTTGTGGAGGGGTTGAGTGAGCGCTTTGCATGGCTGACAACGGAAGCTGGGCTGAGGCAGTTTGCATGTGGTGAAGTACCCTCAAGACTTGGATGTTTCAGAATGACTCGTGATGCTTCGGAGTGTCAGCTGGGCGTGATCCCTTGTCCAACATGAGAACATGTGCCTTCTCGCAAGATGCAGAGGCATGTCCGGGTCACTGGTCTTGAGAACGAAATGAGTTTGACTTGGATTGAATTGTGAGACGGCTTGGGCTCTGATTGGATATGATGATCTCGCCAAAGCATCTCGATCATTGGCTTGTAGTGAAGCACTATGAAGCACTGCTTGCACAAGTCCAGTGTCAGAGTTTCGGTTCTACAGTTAAAACCACTGGGAGTTTCACTGTTTTTATGTTTGATGCTGGAACCACTTGGAAGTGGATGCTTTGGCAAATTCTCTTGTAGCTGGCAACATCTGTCAACCATGTTCGGACTGTTTAAAACGTTTTTGTTGGTCTTGCGCAAGTCCCAGTGAGAAAGTCTGCCGGATCCTTTCAGGATGACTATATCATCCTCAAAAAGAACGTCTTGGGTTCCTTGAACTGGGATGGATGCGACGTGTCTCTCCGCGAGGAGGAAGGAAAACGCGACGCGAGACACGCGCCTGTGAGCGGGAAGCAATACAGGCCCAGACACTGAGCGCTTGAGTGGAAGATTTACCTACATGTTGGATCATGATGGATGTTTAAATGTTCGGTCCCTGTACAGTACTATAGTAATATAGTATATTATAGTATACTTGACTGGACCAGTCACGTGCTGTTTACTTGATTGTCATAAACTCGAGGGCCTTCTTGGTTTTCTGACCACAACATATATGGAGAGAAACGTTTACTCGCTAAAATCTCTGCTGCAAGGAAGAGCTAAGTATTCATAAGGATTCTCCATGCTTCCATTCAGATAGTTCACACCCAGGTCTACACTTTCGAACATATAGTTTCATCATCACGGAGACATCCTTGCTAAGAAATGCCGGCACAGTGGCTCCGCGCTAAACAGTGCTGAA